ACATTAAAACCCTAACATGATACTAAGAAATTGCTGCAGAAGATACAAATCCAGGATTTTAAAACATGTAAACAAGAAACAAAATACCAATGTGAAAAACATTTTCACTGGGTCAAGGTAGAAAATAAAGATCACATCAGGTGAGCAATTCTGTGAGTGAAGTTGCGCAAGTGAAGTGAGACCATTGCTATCACGGGGTGGGGGGCGGGATTGATGCAGAGCAACATCTCTGCTCAATCTTAATGGCTGGAAGCTGGTCGCCCTTTAGCGATTCACTACTAACCTGAATGCAAGAGCCAGTGAGACATGGTGGTTCCAGTGCTGGACCTGGGAGATCCAGGTTCTGATCCCCAGCAGCCAAGAAGCTCACGGGGTGACTCTGAGCCAGGCGTGAACTTCACAGCGTTCTTGTTATTAGGATAAAAAGGGAGTGGAGGAGAACTATGTAAGCTGCCTTGGGCCCTTGCAAAGGAAGACCTGGAATTCAGGCTATAACTACAATGTAACAATAATAATACATAAGAGGCATAATATAATGCTATAATATACAAGGCTACCTAATGTACAGTGCTATGTATTAGGGTTAGGGTTAGGGTTCTGCTGTAATCTGCAGTATAGAAGGATAGATGTTACACCATTTCTGAGTTTTAGAAAATGGCAGCTGGTACTTATGAGATGGCCGCCACTGTTACTGTCTATAGCAAGCAGACACAGATCAGATCTTCTCTGAGACACATTTCAAAACCCAGCTGAAAGTGCCTTCATGACTTACGTTATGTGGCTACTGTGTTTTGAAAGTTTCTAATTCAGTGCAGGATATGTAGGCAGGAGGGGGAAAAGTGCGAGGGCAGTTCAGTTTTTGCATCTGCAGATGTCTTCTAGTCGTTTGGAGCGACAAACAATCTAGTATTGCTTCTCATGCACAATGGTTAGCAATATGCATGTCCGAGCTGTATCCTGATTTCTAATCTACTTCCTAACTTTCCTTAAAGTTCAGGGTATTTTATACAATTTATTTGCACTGAATAGAAATATTAGTCTCCCAAACAAGTTTTCCTTATCTTTTCAGACCATTTGTATTTTTTCTTAGGAACATTTGTATTATTTGTATTATTTTTTAGGTTGTAATCCATTTGTATTCTTACATGGTAATCTGCTTGGAGACTCTTCAGACTTGTTATAGCAGAATATAAGCTGAACGAATGAAAGAATGACTAAATAAATAAATAAATAGATAAATAAGCAAGCATGCTTCTGTGCTACAGCCGCTACTTTACTGCCGCAAGTACACTTCCTCTCTTCTAGAGAAGCGCCTCAGCCAGAGTGTAGTTTGTACTGTGGTGACACTGGGTTTTTCCGACGTGAGGCTTGCAGCTACAGCTTCCGGCTCCTTTAGCATTCAGAATGTGCACAGTTTTTCCACGCACCCATTTCCCCCATCCTGTGTATCACATGCTGCAAAATAAACTGGCTCTGATGGGTGGACTTGCTCCTCCCTCCACCCTTTTTCTATCCCATTTCTAGCCATGAACCTTTGTGCCCGGGTGCATGTATGTTGATCGATACACATTTTTGTCTTGCTGCTCTTGCTCAGATTCAGAACTTTGACCTTCTTCTCTCCTTCCCTTAAGATCCCCCAGCACATAGTAGAACAAGAAAAGCACTTGTTGGGAGTGGGAAGGGCAGTCGCTCCTGGCGTGCATTCCCAGGGCATACTGATTGGTACTCCGAGAGAAAGGGAAATGAGGGGGCGGGGAATGTGGGCCAATCCCAGACACTGAGATGAGAGAAGCTCTCAAGGGCAGCCTCCCCAGGTGCTCCAGCAGCCTCTGAGAATAAACTTGATGTGGGAGGGGGCTTGGAACAGGGGAGACAGACAAGGCAGGTATGGCTCTCAGCCCCGTTGGCAGAGGAGGGCTATCCAATTAGAGGATCGGCATGCAGAGAGGAGCCGTGCTCATTCCCAGAAGGGCCCTCCTGAAAGGATGGGGCACAAACATACTCATAAGGAGTGTTCCTAGTCGTAGATAATAGATTTGGGTTTAATGAATTGCTCTGTGCATGCTCAGAGGTTTATTATGTAAAACTGTGATTATGGAAAACACTTTGATCAATAAAGAACTTTTTGCAAGAAGGGTTTGTGACTTTGAATGTGTGAAGAAAAGCCTTGCTCGTGACAGCACAGAAGACGTTTCGTTTCACAAGAGCAAAAACTACCCAATTTTCTCCATTCCCCCCAAAAAAAGGAGAAAAAAAGGGAGAAAACCTGGCAAAGTGGTTTGAAAGGAAGAAGGGTGACTTCAAGGACTTTGTTTCCATTTAAAGCAGCCACAAGTGACTAAGAATGGAGAGAGATGAGTACAGAATTGTACTCATCACAACAATTATTGTTGTAAGCCGCCCCGAGGCTTCGGCGAATGGGGCAGCATAAAAATGTTTTAATAAAAAAAAAAAAGAATGAAAGCCTCAAAAGAGCTTTCACTGCTTAGAGCATTCACTGCTTCCGTTTTTCTTGAGCAAATTGCCCAAGATGTGAACAATAAGTTCACAGCAAGCTCCCATAAATATCCTTAAGCATGCTTTGCTATTCAATCTCAAATGTTCTTCTAGATGGAAACAGGGCTGCATCACCTGTCCCCTCCCCAGTGCTTGGCCCCTGAGGGCAAACTGTGTATGTGGGCAATTCTTCCTGGGCTTGCCAGAGTGCTGATCTTAGTCAATTAGCAGCACTCCCTCTCTTCAAGGCATCCAAAAGTTGACACAGCCTCTCAAGGAACCTTCAAAATCACGCTGCACATGCAGCATCCCACCCACCCACCAGTTCTTCGTGCTGTCACTTACCATGCCTGGGGCATGCTCTGTGTTGTGGATGTAGATTTTGCAACATTTTTCTGCCCTCTCCGCAGAGCCTCATAGTGAAAGCCACCCCTCCACACACAGAGAACTGCAAAAAGCACGGGACTCTTTGCAAGGAGTGAAAAAAATCTGAGGTAGAAGTACAGCTCTGACTTCAAAGAGAAGATGGGTTTCTTTCTGTTTCAACTTCCTGTTTTCTCTCTTTCTCTGTAACAGTTTACTGGTCTTTTCTGTCAGAGAAACTATGTCTGAGTTTCTACTGTATAATTAGCTTCCTGCCACCTGGTGCTCTCCAGATGAGTTAGAGTATAGCTCCAACACTTGTAGGAACTTGCTGGGCGAAGATGGGGATTGTAGCCCAAGACATCTGGTGAGATCAGATTAACTGTAGACCAGGATACTCAAAATGCCACCTTCCCCCATATGCATCTGCTCAAATCTTAAGGTCTTCTGGAGCAGCAGAGAAAGGCACAAAAATGGCCATGGGGCACCCACATGGGGCATCCACCCAAGGATTGTATGTTTAGGCCTCAGTTTACTAGCCAAGAATAGACAAGTTTTACTTTAGCACTAGTCTTGATTTGTGATTTTTATATTTTATGCAGAGATGTCAACACTCACTCTGAATGCAGTTATTTAAACAGAGGATGATCCAAGGATGGAAATAATTAAATCCAAGGCTGTGCTAAAAACTAACAATCACATCAATACATTATCATGGCCTTCATAAAAGAAAACCCAAGTGCCCAATCTCATTTTTATCTGAGATTTCTCCCTTTATGCCCAGTGGAATTTGTTTCCAGGCAGGTTGCAATTTCTAGTATTTTACCTGGGAACAAGCCTCACTTAACTCAGTGCAACTTACTTCTGAGTAGACATATATAATGTTGTGCTGTATGGTTAGCAGCATATTCAGTCTATGCTTTTGGATATGTGACTGCCATTGCTTTCAACATAACAAGAAGAATCATGCTGGGTCAGATCATCTAGTCCAGCATCTTTTTCACATGGGGGTCCACTAGCTGTCCCAGATTCCTCCAGGCAAGACATGAGTGTAGCAGAACCCTCCTCCCTAAATGCCCCAGCATCTGGTGTACTGTAGCATGCAGCCTCTGATACTGGAGCTGGCATGGAGCCATCTGGACCAGGAGTCACCAACAGCCTTCTGCTCCATGCATTTGTCCAATCCGCCTTTCAAGCTCCCCAAATCTGCATCTCCCATAGTTTGACTGGCTGCTGTAAGAAGACGTATCACTCTGAATCTCCCACCAATCAGCTTTCCTGAAATGATCCTGGGTTTGAGTATTATGGGAAGAAGAGAAAAATGTCTCCATCTCTGCTTTCTCCACACCTTGCATAATTTTGTACACTTCTGACATGTCTCCCCTTCCTTGCCCTTTTTCTAAGCTAACCAACCTCAGCTGTTGCAACTTTTCCTCATGGGGGAGCTTATCTAACCTCTTTAACATTTTACTTACACCTTTCTGTCCTTTTTCCTGCTTTGCAATACCCCTTTCATTTGCAGTGACCTGTATTATTTTGTATATTTACAATAATGATAGTGAAAACAACAGTAGTAATTAAAATAATTTGCAAAACTGTTAAAAGGGTATCTATTTGAGTCACAATTCTGAAGCTCAGATTGGTCAAATAAAACATAGACCCTTAAAATAGCACTTTCTGCTATCTTTTCATGCATAAAAGTGGCTCTCTTCGCCCTTACTGTGCTATGAAGGGGAATGCCAGCGAAAACGCTCTGTAGGACGCTTGCCTGTCTGTGGGACCCATCCCTCCTTGATGCAGAACCCACAGAATGGCAGGGCTGCCTGTCGCGCGCTGTCAGAAGCTGCCTGTCACTCCTGTGCGATCCGAGCCGTCTTTCAGCAGCTCTCTGGACTTCGGACTGTGTTTGTGTTTCACGCAGCTGATAACTCCTCCCGTTCTATGAGAGGCAGAAAGGAATGCCAAGTGGGAGAGACCAGGGCCTTGAGGCCACCCAGATCAGAGGGTTTTGTGCAAAAGCCCCTATATGGCTCTGTTTGACAGAGAGATGGAGATGGAGCTTGGGTTTGCTCCTTGTTTGGGAAGCTGGCGGGAGGGGGCCAGGCCGAGGAGCTATATAATCCATGTGTGTTCAGTTTCCCAGTGCACCATCCCAGAGCAGCTCTCCCTAGCCAAGCGCTGACAGGGTAAGTGGCAGTGAACCAGAGGAGAGATTTCAGGGTTTGCCTGGTTGGTTTAATGAAGGAAAAGGCTCCATGCTGCTTTGATCGAATATTCCTATGAAGTAATGCCCCCAGTATATGAGTAAATGTGTGAGTCACACTCAGAAAACTCAGTTGATGTTTGCTTTTTATTGCAGAAGGGTGTGGAGTGCATCCTTAGATTGCAATCTTGCAGCCAGCCTTTGTTGCAGCATATTTAGTGGGAAGTAAGACTCACTGAACTCAGGGGAATTCTCTCCCAAGTAAGTGTGTGTAGAAGGAAGGCCCATTGAGTGGACGTGCATAGGAGGTGGCTGTATGGCATGAACTAATCAAGCTGCTTAGCACCCACTTAGTTTGATGGGAGAATTTGTGTACGTACCTTATTCTCGTCCCTCACTGAAATCAGTGGGACTTGGGTTAACCTTGGCTCGATTGTGCATTTTTCTGATTCTCTTATCCTCACTCTTTTACTTGCTTATTCATATTGCAATGATAAAATAGCTATAGCATGTCTAAACTATCTCATTTATAAACAAAATGTTGCACAGCCTTTCTGCCTGTTTCTGACAATACGTTCATTTTACTAGTCACACTGTTATTTAAGCAAGAAAAAGCCATCCTTACAAGCCAGCTTTTCCCCTCCTAACTGCTGTGGTTCAGATTGTTCCTTTCACACCTTTTCTTTGGATGCCGGTCAGCTTGCATGCCTTTGCTTCCACATTGTGAACCTGGAAAGGGATGTTCACCTTTTAGATAGATTCATTTTATTAGAATTCCCAAGCACGGAAAAGTAACTGGACCAGCCTAAGAGCAGATACACTCTTTGCATTTTACCCTTTGGTTGCTTTAGCACAGGAACTGCATTCAATTCTAGTTGTAAGCTTAATGTTCCAAGAAACTTGTGCTTTGCTTATGTTATTTGACATCTCAAGTGCTATGTAAACATGATGACTGTGATTACTATTGCTGCTACTATTAACCCCTAAGAAATGGAAATTTGTCAGAAGTAGGCATAAAAAGCTAGCAGGACAGAACATGACTTTACTGTTTCTTCAGATAAGTGCAGGTACAGGTGGCAGCTACCTTGATATAAAATTATGCACTGGGGTGGATGCTGCAAAAACATAACTATTGTCTAGATGGTCATGAATGTCACCACCTGCTTGGAAACAGAAGGTAGTCCTGGAGAGAAGACATTTACAATTTCTTCTGGTTTTGACTCTGAGCATAACTGAAAGAGGTAAAGGAATCCTACACGGAGCAAGCCATAGATGCACATGAGATTCTGCTTCATAGGATCCTGAACTGAATAGATAGCTAGCTGAAGTACGATAGAAACATAAAAACATGGAAACAGAGTGAGTCAGAAGGGGTCTTCTGAGCTACAGTATCTAGTCTGATCCCCCGGCTCCAGCTGGCTCCACTCAAGACATACCTACCATGTGCATGTCCAACCTATCCTTGAACACCTGCACCAATGGGGCTTCAGCTACCTCCCCTCCTGTGGAAGCCCATTCCATACCCTCAGGGTCCAGACCATCAGGAAGTACTTCCTGGCATCCACCCTGAATAGTTTTTGTCTGTGTACCACAGCATCTAGTGCTGAATTCCATCATTAAACTCCTGCTGTCCTGTACTTTGAATGGTACTTGCTGATAGGATCTGGCTGCTACAAATGTTTACTCCTTATGGACAACTGAATGTTGATTCATCTACACATAATTAATTGAAATTATGTTTGCTTTTGCTTGTGAGATTCTTGTGGCTGTTATATCCAAAACTGCTGGCCAAATACCTTCCTTGTCTTGAGGTCATCGGGCAAGTTCTGTTGTTACAAATTCCTTTCCCAGTTCATTTCATCCTGTGTATGTGTACATATGGAGTGTGGTGGGTCTGAAAGCACAAAGCCCAGGGCCTTCTCCATGGGCCACTGTTCATGTTATTATTTTATTACTAGCATTACATTGTATTTATATCCCACAATTTACCTTTTGTGAGGAACCCAAGGCAGCTTACGGAGCCCCGTTCACGACAGCTGCTTGAGATGGGTGAGGCTGGCCGGCCCAGGGTCATCGAGTGAGCTTCATGGCTGAGTGGGGACTACAGCATGGGTCTCCCAGTAGGATGCTCCAAACACTGCAGCAGACCGGCTTGCTGAGTTTCCTTCTGAGAGAGGCTCCCCTACCTGGCCTCTTTCATTGCTTTTAGAAGGAAAAGCTTTCCTCTTTCATAACCTTAGACTGACATCCTTAGAGGGACTGAGATTACATTTTAACTGGACCTCTGCTGCCTTTTTCTGTTGTGATTTCAAATGGCATTTGTTTTACATTTTAACTTGTATTGTTTTGAGTCTCCCTGGCTCAAAAATGCAATAAAATAGAAGGACACCAGTAATAGCAGTTGCAATATTACTGTAAGAAGTGACAGCATGCACAGCAATTTTGAAAGAGCCCCCTTTGCTGTAGCATCCTGCAGAATCTAGTGCATTGGGGTAATTTTTAGCTCTGTGTGGAAGCAAGATGACTAGCTGTAAATTGCCTACCTTAATCATTCTTGAGAAACTCACTTGGCAGGTTCATTGTGAGTTCTGGGTCAGCTTAGCTACTGCAGATCATCTGTATCACACACTAGAACATCCCATATTTTAAAACACTACTTGACTGCCATTGGAGGGCTTGTCTTAAAGGGTTGATTTCCTTGAATTTCTGAGCTTTGCTAGTAGTTACTAAATATGGCTTTCATTTAGAGCTTTCCACACTCAAACAGAACTGCAGCATTCCTTCACCCCCGCCCTTTTCTCCAAGGATTTTTGGCTCACTTGACTTGAGTTTAAGGGGGAAAACCCTTGACCTCTCCAGTTCTATTCCAAAAACAGACTTTTGAAAGACTTTGTTTCCTAATTAGGAAATGGTTTCTTCCAAATGGACTAGAGGAACTCAAGTTTAGTAAAGTTTCTGTGCATTGGAGCAAATACTTTAATATAAATAGCACCTATTCCTATTCAATAGATGTTTTCAAACATTTCTTTTTTAGTAAATCACAGCCAAAAGCATGTTCTTCTCTTTACTAATTTTAATTTTAAAAAGTGTTCATCAAGCATCAAAAATTTCAGATGGGCACCAATTACATTATCAGCAAGTCTGAGGTGCAAAGAAGAGAGTGACTTACCCAAAGACACTGAATGAGAAGCTTTCCACATTTACTGACATGTGCACTTAGTAAAAGGAAGATAGCAATGTAATAAACATGAAAATGCCAGGATTAGCTGGAGTTTGATGCTGTGCTCTCACCGGATACCACCCTAAATGTGCTACATATAATGGGAACTTGGGTGATTCCCTTGGTTTGCATTTATATTTCTTATATAATATGTATTTTAATATTTCTTTTATTTTGGCTAAGAAGGCACTTGAACTTGGTTTCTCTCCCATCCAAAACAAAAAGAAGTCAGTCACTGGGTTGCAAAGCAGATCTCAGAGCCATGCCTATTAGATCACAGTTCTGAGCTCCAGGGTAGGAACAGATGGCCCGAGGAGCCATGATGGAGTCGCCCTGCCGAAGCTGAACCAGTCTGGACCCAGCTGGGAGACGACTTGGGAATGCACTTTGCCTTGTGTTCCTTTACAGAAGAAGATGTCATGGCAGCAGAAACCCATGGAAAATCATGAGATTCCCCCTTCCTCTGTGTCTAAGGGCTCTCCTACTGCTTTGGGGATTATGCTCTTTTCTTGTAAACAATTTGCTTTAGTCTTAATTTTCTTACCCATCTCTTGAGAGAACATTAAGCCTTCTATACTGAATGTATGCTAACAGTTCCACATACATTTTAATACTCCATCTTTTAGTTCAAGGCTGCTAGAATCTAGTACACAGGCCTTATATTCAAGACTTGGATGATTGTCTACTGCGAAGCTACATTTGCAATGGCAGTCTAATTAGCAGGGTTGTTTGTACTCCACACTAAATCAAATTGAAATCCTGCACCAGAAGCTGAATTCTTCAGACTGTGTTCATTTTCTATAGCCAGTATACATCATATAAGTGTATCCTTATTTTTCATAATCTAGTGAGTTTTGCTATTTGGAATTGTTTGTTCTGGTCTGCCAGTTATGGGAATAGCAAGAACAATGCAGCCATGTCTGCACTATCTGAAAATCTTGATCAGATACTTCTCTGTTCTGTGCTGTGCTCTGAAGCATATCCAAGAGCCAGTGTGATATCCAGGGTAAAATGCTGAATTCGCACTTGTATATTTCTCAGAGGTTCTTGGCAGAAAGGTAGATGATAAGCATTATCAACGATTACTGCAACAGTGACAGACAGAAATTTTCATATTTTAAAATCATACAAAAGCTCGGAAATATGATTATCACAGACAGTAATGATATCCTGTGCTTTTTAGGCACCTGCAAACACAACTGTGTCTATTAATTGTGCTTGCCAGGTGCCATCATAATTAAATTGGCACTGGCAAAGACTGGCAAAAGGCCTATCAGTTCACTTTGTAAGACGCAACTGGACAAGAAGCAAAGTCCATTTGTCTTCCAGAAGGTACCAATCTTTTTATTTATTTATTTATTTGTTTAGTGTTATGATTGTCTTATATCCCACATGGGTCTAATCTCCCAAGCACTTTGATGAAGATGCTGTTCTGAGAAGCCACAAACCAGGTGGATCACATTGGAGATCTCAGGCTTGCAACAAGATGTGATGGAAACTGCTTTAACTCTGCATATTGAAAATGTAGCACCTTCACCTCCCTTGAATTGCTACTGCAAGGAAGGCTAAATGGAGGACAGTGGCTGATAGGCTGATATTTGACTTATAACACACTGTAAATCACCATATGGTTCACTCTGGCCCCCTGGTTGTGATTCATGCTAAACCTGAATTGCCGACAGCATAGCATACTCCTGCAGTTGCTGAACTGTGAAGCTGCAGTGTTGGTCTTCAAGGTCTTGTAGGCTAAATACAAACTGCGTAATAATGGCTGTTTAATAAGTTCAAAGATCTTTTTTATTTAGACTGGAGGCTTGCAATGTTTCTGAGTCACCTAAAACTGGGTGGAAACATTTCTTGCCTGCCTCCTCAGCAGAACAACAGTTACACAATATCTGGAAGCTGTAGTCTAAAATACTTAGAGGACACCAACTTGGGGAAGGCTGAGGTAGAAGACTCTGGAAGTGTGCAGTAGTGGAACTCCTAGAATAGGCAAATTGGAAGATAGTGACATTTATATGAAAGCTTATCTTATGCAACATAATCACATATAGGACCCTGTCTGCAGCGTTCTACATTGCGGTTATATTTCCCTCTGGCAGCAGTCATTGTGGCTGAGTGCTTACTTCCTTTACTGTTTGCCCAGCTGATACACAACTGCCTTCACATTCCCTTTTCATCGCCCCTTTCTCTTTTTATATTTGCTCTCTTTTTTCTTATTTCCTTTCCTCCTTCTCCTGCGTATGAGGTCCTCCCAAGAGTGGCTCAGAAACAAATTTCTGAGTTCTGAAAAGGATGCTATTCTTTTCGAGCTCAGAACAAAATCTGTGCTAGAGAAATGTTCCAAACCTCCCTTGCTGATACCCCAGAATACCCTTCAAATTCTCCCTTTTCCTTTGGACCAGACAGGTGTGGTGGTGGTAGAAATGGCAGGAAGCAGCTCTTTCTCTCTTGTCCTAGCACAAAACAGAGCACCACAGCATGAGTTACAGCAACTGTCCCCAGCCTGATGCCCTCCAGATGTTTTGGATAACAACTCCCCGGATTCCTGACCATGGGCCATGCTGGCTGTGAATGATGAACCCCGAAGTCCGAAGCATCTGGAGGACTTTTAGCTGGGAATGCTGGCCTCAAGAGAGGGGCAGTTGGGTCTCCTTCAGGGGCTACTGCCATTTTAAAAGCCCCAAAGGTCATCGCTCTTTAAGTCCTAATAGGATAATGGAGAAGAATGGAGGAAAGAGGAGGAAACCCACTGCTCCTTCTCACTTTTCGTTGCCATATTTACTGTTACCAAAAAAGTCTAACTAAGGCCACCACTTTTGCTAACCCCTGCATTTGCAGCTGATCTTCTTAACTGGCGTTACTTATTCTGCTGCATGGGGCTTTCTCTGTTCTATTTGTAGGACTGCACCTGTGTGGAGGTTCCAAGAACATTGTTTTAGAAGATGTGTGAAGAAGAGGACAGCACTGCACTGGTTTGTGACAATGGCTCTGGACTTTGCAAGGCTGGCTTTGCTGGGGACGATGCTCCAAGAGCGGTTTTTCCTTCCATTGTGGGGCGTCCCAGGCACCAGGTGAATAATGGGTCCAGCCAGTAAGGAACTACTTGGATGGGTGAACAAACGGAGTGCCATGGAAGGGAACGGTCTGAATCTGCTTTCTTCCCACTGTGTCACAATCCTCATCTGATTTACTTCAGATTAGTCCAGTTCCAGTTGATATAAACAGGGTTGCTCTTTGGAGCAAATTGTGCTCATACTCTTTTTCAGTTTAGCCTCTTGAGATTTTGTCTTAGAAGTTAGCCATATTTTGCTAGAGTTTGAAAATCGTTTTCCTTTGGCTGTTTTTTTGGGGGGGGCATGGGGCAGGGGGGTGGAATGCTAGTCAATTGTTCATAAAGAAAACCTGGAGAGCGGGAGGAAGGATAGAATAATGATGGGTTAGGATAACTGCAAATCTGATAAAATACTCAGTATCTTTCACTAAACATCTAAGTTGTTAAATTCCGGGCCCACTGCCTAGGAAGATGCTCTGGCTGCTAAGATCTATAAGCCACAGACATCAAACATGGCCTCTCAGTTGCTCTGCAGGATTTGACTGTATGTTAGGCTTATGGAACTGCAGCTTCTGTCTCACGATTCTTGCATTCTAACCAGGATGGAGCATACACTTAATAGAGCTATATTTTCAAATTAAATTCCAAAATCCATATAATAATTTTATCAGACCAACCAAAAGTTTACAAGAAATGTACGAGCTTTTTAGATCTCCAGATCTCTTAATCAGTCTACAAAAAGCCGGGCTCTGGAGGGAAAGCAGAGATGAATAGGGGAAAGGAAGAAGCGGATGATGGTGAATTCACACACTCCAAATTACTTTTTGATATGACAATCATGAAAGCTTACAAATATTTGTGATTTGGTTTAGCTTATTCAAGATAATGCACTAATAGGGTTTTTTTACTACAACATCATTGTAGAAAATGCCTTGCATAACTGTGGGTCTTTTTGCAGTGTAATGCTGCAGTCTTAACTATATTTATGTAGGAGTAAATCCAGTGTAAATTCCTGGAACTTTCTTCTGAGTAAACATGGATGGAATTAGCAGGGTGCAGAAAGTGGGCAGCAGGAGCTGCTGAAGCAGAAACTTGGGAAGGGTGAGCAGCTCTGCATTCACCACTAGATGGGTCTCTGCTCATGTTAGAGGGTTTTGGCTTGAATGAATGAATGAATGAATGAGAAATAGCAAGAGGCTTTAACTCAGGGGCAGAGCCCAGCCTTGCATGCAGAAGGTCCCAAGCTCAGTCTATGAGCATCCCTAGCCTGGTGCAAGGATTGCAGACCTGAGACCCCTGAATGCAGTGCGGAGGATAATGGCTGAGGTGCATCAATGATCTCCGCCTGAGTAATGCAGCGCCATGGCTTCATTTCCTATAGGTCTCTTTTCCATGGTGTTTGTCATGCTTACGTAAAGAGAAAGTGTCCATGGCCTCTTTCTCACCTGAAATGAAAGTAGATGAATTGAGATACATGCCATCTTGTTTGTCTGTGAGCCTGAAGTGGCCTTCTTTCTCCCCTGTCTAACTTACTAGGGTGTGATGGTAGGCATGGGTCAGAAAGACAGCTATGTTGGTGATGAAGCTCAAAGCAAGAGAGGAATCCTGACACTGAAATATCCCATTGAACATGGAATCATCACAAACTGGGATGACATGGAGAAGGTATGCAAATCGTTAATGCGAAGGCACACCGCTGGATGTAGTACAAAATGAACGACAAGTATAATGACAGAGAGTGCTCGTCAGTGGCACTTTCTGAAAATGCAGAAGGTCACTGGTAGGGCGCAGGGTTCACTCCTAGGCCCAGTGCTCTTCAGCATCTTTATTAATGATTTAGATGAGGAACTACAAGGAAAGATTTAAGAAGGATGTCTAACAATTAGAAAGCATCCAGGGGAGGGCAGTAAAAATGATCCAGGGTTTGGAAACATTGCCCTTTGAGGAGAGACTGGGAGAGCTGGACATGTTCAGCCTTGAGAAGAGAAGATTGAGTGGTACATGATATCCCTCTATAAGTACCTCAAAGGCTCTCACAAAGAGGACATACCAAAATAATCAACTCAAGTTGTGACAAACCAGATACAGGCTTGATATCAGAAAAGGTTTCCCCACTGTCACAGCAATACAACACTGGAACCAGCTGCCTAGAGAGGTGCTGGGCTCTTCCACACTAGAAACATTCAGAAAGAAACTGGACAGCCATCTGAGTGGGATGGTGTAACGTGGTGTCCTGCAACAGCAGGGGGTTGGACCTGATGGCCTTCATGGCCCCTTCCAATTCTACTATTCTATGATTCTATAAACAGGGTGGATGATGTGTAAATTCTTTGCACATTATATGGATATTTTTAAAAAGGAATGGGTAGAGTTGGCATTTCTTCCATTGCAGGTATCCCCCACTCCCTGCTTGTTTTTCTAGACGCTTCTCTCTCTCTCTTTCGCTCCCCCTCTCTGTGTGTGTGTGTGTGTGAGGGGGGGGGGAGAGAGAGAGAGAGAGAGAGAGAGCGAGCTCAGATGGATTGGTCATTGAAATTACTTCACAAAGCATTTGTCCTTGTTTATAGGAAGATAACGTGATAAAGAACTCTCCCTGGGATATGCATAGGTGGGGATGCAGCAGCGTCCTGATGCCTGTATGGATTCTCTTGCTTCTATAATGCAAGCAGTGGGTTCCTCTGATTCTGCTCTTTAAGCAGGACCTCCTCACCCTACACCACACAACAGAAAGCTAGTGCTTCCCAGGGGAGGCAGAAATGCTCATTTCTCAATGGGAACAAGCTGGAAGAGCATCATAACATGAGCGTTGCTGTCCTGTCCTGTTCCAGAAATGAGCGTTTTCTCTTATTTGCCCTTGCCCCACAAGTGCTACATCTTCCTTCCACAAGCAGTGTGGCCACTTGTGGACAGGAATTGGTGAGTTGTAAAGGAATCCACAGAGATGTAAACACCCTGCTGGATTCTGCCCAACCATATGGAACTAGATTAGGCTGGACATGGCGCTTGGTAGGCATGTCATGAGTGGAGCCGGCTGCAGTCGGGGGTCAGAATAGATGGCTCAAGAGGCTCCTTCTGACTTGCTCTGCTTCTATGTTTCTACACAGAGTAGGTAGAAACAGAAGGTACAGAAAAAAACTGAACAACCAACACATTGAGGAAGTGGTTCCTGCTATTAATATCTGCAATTGGGGTGGGCAACCTGGGACCTTCCAAACATTTTGAAAATAAAATAAAAATAAATAAATAAACATTTATTTCAAAAGCAATAACATTGTCAAATAATGCCATTATGTTGTAACTATATTTTCCTGTGTAAAATAGCTGCCATATAGGAAAAGCAACCTGGAAAACATACCTCGTTAGATAAAAATGCTGGCTAGCCAAGAGTAAATTCCCCAGGTTAAAAAACAACATTTTGTCTAACCTGGTAAACATTTCAGTTCAATGCCTCTCTGTGTGAGAGTGAAGTTAAGCTGAATGTGAGTGTTCCTACTGGAAGCTTCTAGCACCTCGTGGTGTTCTGCAGCTTCTGCAGCTTGAAGCATTGACAGAAGTGACAGAGTGGTGGCTACTGTGACCATTGCAGCAGGCCTGACCGTGACCCCAGCTGTTCTCTTTGCCGTTTGTGTCAGATCTGGCATCATTCTTTCTATAATGAGCTGCGTGTCGCCCCTGAAGAGCACCCAACTCTGCTTACAGAAGCACCTTTGAATCCCAAGGCTAACCGAGAGAAAATGACTCAGGTACATGTCATCGTCTGTGCTTCAGTGTCTGGGGGGTTGATGGTGGTCCTGGCACCCTACCCCCTTGTGCTTAAAGAACATCTTCCCTATGAAGAAAAAGGTGAAAAATTCACTGTGTTGAAGTTTGGTTTTCTTGCTTCTCTCTTTCTTTTAATGGACTTATCTGGTTTGCTCATCCTGGAACCAAATGCAATTTGAAGTTGGAAATACTTACTTTTCCAAGCTTTAAATATATTCTAAGAAAGAAATAAAAAATGTATCTGACAACATGTGCACAACTGAAAGAAATTTAAAATGCTGTATCCATTTCTGAAATATATGCAAATATGCTTTAACAGGGTACCTCTGTGAAAGTCTGCACATTTATAATGTGCATGAGAATGTGCATAATATGTATAGATGCTGGGAGTTGCAAAATGCTACATCAAGTTGCAAAATGCTGAAATAGGCACCTGTCTAAGTAAAAGCTAGAAAGTATCACAGGTAGTACTCTATCCAAGCCTTGAAATTTCAGATTCCAGGATGATGCCTTAATCGGTTTCCCCTTTACTTAATTATAACTGCACCGGGCCTGCACAATGGTGACACAGAAAGCCGAATACTTCCCCCAAGCCATAGACTGTGGCCTCCCAAATACTTGACAACCCTGTTTTTGTAGTTCGACACAACTTAGGAAGCTGCGGGATATGGCTGGTGGACAGCTTTCAGTCTGGTAAGTCAAATATTACACCCGGCCTCTTGTTCCGATGATTTGATATATGTTCATGTTTTGTGTCATTGTGTTGTGGTAGTTGCATGATAACCCGTCCACAAATGTCTGTATTGGTACTGCTGGAGCACATTTGGTAAGAAGGTTGTTCCAAACTACCTTTGGTTTTTGATGTGTAGGGCTGTAGTGTCAGTTTTCCATCATCCATTCTTTGTGCTGGCTTGTACTCTGGTATGAGTTCAGTTAGGAAAGTCATAGAAGGAAAGTTTCCTGTCTCCTTTTGTTCCCAAAGAGCCAACATGGGAGAAAGAGGGCCCTCTTCAACACTATCTAAGTGGGTGTGCAGGAGAAGAACGTTCATTTATTTTTTATTTAAACGTCATTTTAACTCTTAATATTATTTATTTATTTTATATCTCTGGCCAGGTCGTCTCAAATTATATTGTTTTTATATTATGATTATTTATTTATTGTTGTGAGCCGCTCCGAGGCTTCGGCGAATGGGGCGGCATAGAAGCTTCAGGGCGGCTCACAACAATAAATAAATAATAACAATATAAAAACAATATAATTGGAGATGTCCTGGCCAAAGATGTAAAATAAATAAATAATATTAGCAGTTAAAATGACGTTTAAATAAAAGGTCTTCGCCTGGCACCGAAAAACAAATTGGCGCCAGGCGGACCTCTCTGGGGAGCGCATTCGATAGATTGGGCGCCACCGCAGAGAAAGCCCTCCTCCAAGTACTTATCCTCCTAATATCCTTCATGGAGGGTTCCTGGAGGAGGGCCTCTCCTGCTGATCTCAAGGGGCGGACGGGCACATATGGACGTAAGCGCTCCTTCAGGTAACCAGGATCCAAGCCGTTAAGGGCTTTATAGGTCATAACCAACACCTTGACTTGGGCCCAGACTTCAATGGAGAGCCAGTGAAGCTGACAGAGAACTAGAGTCATGTGAACATAACTCCCAGTCCCTGTCAGCAGCCTGGCAGCTCTATTTTGCACCAATTGAACTATCTGGACCATCTTCAAGGACAGCCCCACGTAGAGCGCATTGCAGAAGTCAAGTCGGGAATATGCAAGCATAAATGGCTTCCACCTATGGAATGTCACTCTCTTGGCACTCATTCCCTGAGATAAGCATCCCCTAAGAAAGGACATGTGGAGCCCATCTGCACCGCTCTCATGCAGGGTTCAGTCATTGTTGAGCTGTATGACTGCTTTAGCTTTTTGGATGGCAGTCACATGACCATGAAAAATTGCTCGAGCTCATCCTCACAGTTGATCCTTAGGTTGCTTTGTGAAAACACACACACAGCAACCCAGTTGTCCATGCCCACATTACAATAATAACTTGTATATTTGCAATAAAGGAGTGGTTAAGAGTAGGAAGGAATGATAATTCCTGTTTATCTCCTTGGTATACACCTGAATTACGGGCAATGAAGCAGGTTGGGAGACGTCTAGAGCGTAGGTGGAGGAGATCACGGGGTGAATCTGACCGAACACTCTTAAGAGCCCATTATCAGGCCTATGTTGTGGCGGTGAGGATGGCGAAGAAGAAATTCTTCTCCACTTCCATTGCCTCCTCACAATGCCGTCCAGCAGAGCTCTTTCAGGTGGTGCAAGGGCTGGTACATCCAGGCCCAAAGAAAGATCTCGTACCACCCTCAAAGGCCCTCTGTGACGACTTTGCCAGGCATTTCAGGGAAAATAATCGCTCAGATTCATCACGAGCTTGACTCTACTATTGAACCAGATTCTACTGAGGAGATGCCAACGACGCCATCGAGTCCACAATTAATGGTTGAATTTCAGTTGTTGCGGCCTGATGATGTGGACAAGGTGCTTGGACAAGTACACCCTACCACATGCTTATTAGACCCATGCCCATCTTGGCTACTTAAGAAAGCCAAGCACGGGATTGGGACCTGGATCCTGGAGGTGGTCAACGACTCTTTAAGAGACGGTCGGGTACCTTCCTCTTTAAAGAGGCGGTAGTCCGGCCAGTCCTAAAGAAGGCATCCCTGGATCCAGAGGTGGCCGCCAATTATAGACTGGTGGCCAACATCCCGTTCCTGGACAAGGTGCTAGAGTGGGTGGTGGTGGGACAACTCCAAGCTTTCTTGGGTGAAACTGATTATCTGGACCCATTTCAGTCCGTCTTCAGACCCGGGTACGGCACTGAATCTGCCTTGGTCGCCCTGTACGATGATCTGTGCAGGGAGAGAGACAGGGGGAGTGCGTCCCTGTTAGTTCTCCTGGACCTCTCAGTGGCTTACGATACCATCGACCATGGTATCCTTCTGAATAGGCTAGCGGGATTGGGAGTTGGAGGCACCGTGTGGCAGTGGTTCCGCTCCTATCTCAACGGCCGATTTCAGAAGGTGGTGCTGGGGGACTATGGCTCTGCGCCATGGCAGTTATGCCATGGAGTTCCGCAGGGGTCCATTTTGTCCCCCTTGCTATTCAACATCTACATGAAACCGCTGGGAGAGGTCATCAGGAGGTGTGGGCTGCAGAATCATCAGTACGCTGATGATACCCAGCACTACCTCTCGTTTTCCACCAACCCAGGTGAGGCAGTGGCTGTGCTGAACTGGTGCCTGGCCGAGGTAATGGGCTGGATGAGGGCCAATAAACTGAAGCTCAATCCAGACAAGATGGAGGCCCTGTTGGTGGGTGGTTCGGGCCTCGGGATGGGGGACTTGGGCCTTGTCCTAAATGGGGTTGCACTCCCTCTGAGGGACAGGGTTCACAGCTTAGGAGTGCTCCTCGACCCTGAGCTGTCTTTAGAAGCTCAGGTGACAGCAGTGGCGAAGAGCGCTTTCCTTCAGCTTCGGCTGATCCATCAGCTGCGTCCCTTCCTGGAGAAAAACTGTCTGGAGACAGTGACACATGCGTTGGTAACTTCCCGATTAGATTCCTGCAATGCACTCTACCTGGGGCTACCCTGTAAGATGGTCCAGATACTTCAATTGGTGCAGAATAGAGCTGCCAGTCTGCTGACAGGGACTGGGTGTTGTTCTCATATCACCCCAGTTTTCCGTCAGCTTCACTGGCTTCCCATTGAAGTCCAGGCCCAATTCAAGGTGTTGGTGATGACCTATAAGGCCCTAAACGGCTTGGGTCCTGGTTACCTGAAGGAGTGCTTACATCCATATATGCCTGCCCACCCCCTGAGATCTGCGGGAGAGGCCCTTCTCCGGGAACCCTCCGTGAAGGAAATTAGGAGGGTAGGTACTCGGAGGAGGGCTTTCTCTGCGGTGGCACCCCATCTATGGAATGCACTCCCCAGAGAGGTCCGCCTGGCGCCGTCGTTATTTGTTTTTCGGCGCCAGGCTAAGACCTTTTTATTTAAAACTTACTTTAATTGTTAATGTATTGGTTATTTATAGGATTTTAAATTTTTTAAGCCGAGATGCACTGGGTTTTAATATTTTTATTGTATAATTTTGTTCTTGTTGTGAGCCGCCCTGAGGCTTTGTTGCGATGGAGGCGGCATAGAAATGTTTTAAATAAATAAATAAATAAATAATCAAATGAGGTTTTTAGTTCATCCTCTTACCTACTTTATGGCATAAATTTATACTTTTTACCGACATCTTGATTTTTAAAAGAATTGACAGTCATGGCTCCCTCAGGAATTCTAAGAATTGTAATTTTGTGAGGGGAAGGAAGACTGTGAAGTCAGTTTATGTTTGTAGTGTAAATTACTATTCAGTGGGTACTTATTTTTACTTTGAAGGAAAGTTCTTGCCATGTTGTGTATGATCTAAACCAAAGTCACTGATATTTCACCTATTAGGCATTGTCTTGCTTCATAGACTTGACTGATCACATATCTTTGCATCTGTACATTTTGAAAGCAATGGTTTAGAAGGATCAGAGAAATCCCATAACTTATGCACAACTGATGATCAGTATGACGAACCCTATATAGTTGTACAGTGGTTTCCTTTCACATTCAGTAACAAAGTCATCATGAGCTCAATACTTTTTTGCTTTTTGTTTACATTACTTTTCAGATTATGTTTGAGACTTTCAATGTCCCAGCCATGTATGTTGCTATTCAGGCGGTTCTCTCCCTCTATGCCTCTGGGCGTACAACAGGTATGAAAATGATATTGGCTCTGGGACTTCTGAAAATGTAGGAGAGTAAGTTGATATGAGGTAAACTGTTGCCTGCTTTGTGTTCTTTCAAGGGATTGTGCTTGACTCTGGGGATGGTGTCACACACAACGTACCAATCTATGAAGGCTATGCGCTGCCTCATGCCATCATGCGCCTGGACTTGGCTGGCCGTGATCTTACTGACTACCTCATGAAAATCCTGACAGAACGTGGCTACTCCTTCGTCACTACTGGTAACCAAATGAACTCAATGACCCAGCCTGCACATCAAAAGCAACCCATGGTTTGTTAATTATGGGCTGTTGATAATGAAGTGGCAGTGAGCACCAGCCCACACCCACTGAGTTAAGAAAAAAATCCATGGGTGTACCATCGCTGGATTGTTTACCCTGATGTCCAAACTCATAATTGCATCCTGTTGAGAGAGAGAAACCCAGAACTGTAACCTGAGAACAAACTATGGGTTACTTAGTCCTGGTTGTTATTCTCCCAACAACCTCCAGTTCAAGCTTTGGATATGCTGATAAACAACCCAGGGATAGAGCATCCCTGAATTCTTTGACTCATCAGGAGCACGCAGAAAGCACACAGCTGTTTGTTCATAGCCCCTCAGGGCTTGTTAAACCATGGATAGCAGTAATCCTGCAACGAAGTCAATATATTTCTCAAGCTGTATGTTACGTTTTTAGAAACTTATAGACATATGATTATGATATTTTTCATTGAGTGTATATGCTAGATCAATAATTTTCAAATGTTTCAAGGGAACTCTTTTCTGTTGAAAGACTGCTGAATATTGCAGAAAATTCTGAAATCTGAGAATACAGCCAGTTCATATGAAGTATTGTTGACCTGTGTAAACTCAGCATGTACCCTAAAACAAGGAAGAATTTACTAGAAATATGGAGAAACATTCACTGTGATGGATGAGACATCTTATAGAAGAACCTGTTCACCATTAGAGTGCTCTTATGGACAAGATTTGGTTTTGAAGAACCCAATATTCCCCCAAGCAGTAGGAAAATAACTTTATTTAAGCAGAAACTACAGGTAGTGCATTGCTAATTACACGCCACTTAGTGCAAGTAATTAGTAATGCACACAGTACTACACCAACTTAGTGGGTAGAGATGCACATTCCCATTGGCCTTGGATGAGAAACTGCATTCCCATGCATACGACATCCTGCTGATAAAGATACTGTAGGAACAGCTCAGTCTTAGTTGGGTGCACCTTAGTCCTTGTCACCCATCCGTTGGTCGCTATACATACGACGCCAGAGTTCCACAGCAACGTCTATTCCTAGCATGTGCGCACTGCTTGCTCATTTATTTATTTGTCTGCTTGTTTGTTTATCTCTTTTTGCACTTGTATCCTGGCAGTGGTCCCAACGGAGAACTCTAGGTGGCTTCCAACAGTAATCAGAACACAATTCTTAAAAACAATAAAATCATAGGAAAACATCATGATAAAACAACAGTATCACAGTGACCATTTAAAATAATAAATAAGGATTGTATCCAGTGGTGGCCTGCTCCCTGGTGTAGCAGTGCCCATGCTCACCAACGCCGCTCCAGTTGCTTGGGGACCGTTTGGAGAAAGGGGAGGAGCAAAGAAATTCTTGAATGGGGAAAGAAAGAAACTTTCCATTGCAGGTGTTCACTTGTGTGATATTGGAGGTGCCTCAGAGCTCTGTTACATTTGTGGATCCCTAATGTTTGTGCATTCCTGAACCAACGAGCAGATCTGGATGAGGGAGCATACCTCTGTGCATGGAACAGAACAGAGCATGCTGTTTTTTCAGGCTGTTCTAAATCTCCAAGAGAATTTGCTAAATGGTGTCCATTTAACATTGAAAGGGAACATGTTTCACTCTAAATTTTCAAATATTCAAACCATGATTCAAAACGTAGTTTTGTATTTATTTTGATTGCAGCAATTTTTAAAAATAAAACCATTTCTCTTTTTGGTAAACATAAGGGTTAAATGATAGACAAAACCAATTTTGAGACAGAAGCCTATTGTCCTTTTTATGAAGGACAAGTAGGTCATAACAAATTTCTTCTACAGCTGAGCGTGAAATTGTCCGTGACATCAAGGAGAAGCTCTGCTACGTTGCCCTGGACTTTGAAAATGAGATGGCCACAGCTGCTTCTTCATCCTCCTTAGAGAAAAGCTATGAGCTGCCTGATGGCCAGGTGATCACAATAGGGAATGAACGTTTCCGCTGCCCAGAGACCCTCTTTCAACCCTCTTTCATTGGTAAGGTGATTTGTATACTGTCTCTTTGCCCGTTATTTCATGCTTCAGCATGACAATCAGTGCCAGTCCTTAAATGGCAACACCCTCCTTGTCTTTCCTCTAGGCTAGGAGTGAGGAACCACTGCCCCTCCAGATGTTGTTGTACTCCAACACCCATCCAGTCCATCCAGCATGGCAAATGGCTAGGGGAGATGGCGGTTATGGTAACTCCTCTGGAGGGCCACAGTTCCCCATCCTAGACCCCATTAAATCAATCTGGAACAGCCACCCACTGATTCACTTCACTTGCTGATTTGTGTACAAGCTCATGGTGACAAAGGCCATTCCATGCATCATGTGGCAGAAACCTGATGGGCATCAAGTGCAGTGTCAGTGGGGAGCCATCGACTCCCTGACAAGTGTGCAAATATAACATATACTAGGACTTATATACGAAAGTGCAGATGCCACCTTAAGGTACATGAATGTTATTTGAGGCAATAATGCTTTGGAGGGGGTCTTTAAAAAAAATAGAATTAGATGTAGCACTCCTTGTCAGCTAAATGGTCCAAGGTAATTGCATACCTATGGCTAAGAGGACAAGTTGGAGCAATCCATTTTGAAAAGTTCAACTCAGATTTGATTTGTGATTTTTCAAAGACAGTTTCAATAATCATATAAGGAGTTCTTTGCAAGTTGAAAATGGTAAAGAAATGCCAACTCTTCTTTCAGCACAGTATTTGCTTTAGAAGGCACTTTAAAAACAGAACTGGGCTCCAAATAAGTATTGCTTAACTTTAACCTACTGCAAGATATTCTCAGATCCTTAATCATACATACTGTAGCTGCATATTTCATATCCTTGGCTTCACATAGTAATGCCTTTTCAGCTTAATTAAGTCAAGTGTATTTAGTTCTAACTTTCTACCCATAACCTGAGACCCTATCTGGAAGCCCGATTCAGAAGAAAGGTGGGTGGTTGCCGGCTTGGGACCTTCTTGGTTGTATCACCTATACTTTGGTATGTTCTCCCCAATCATATGTGTCAGGCTTAGCTTCAAAGTGCATCATTGAAGAGCATTTTACTGCACAATCTTATACATGTTTAGACAAAAAAAAGTCCTATAACAGCATTCCCAAGCCAGAAACTGTAGGGAATGCCAGGATTTATGGGATTTTTTTCCTCTCTGAACATGCATAGATTTGTGCCCTTGTTCACCTTGATACCATGTGAGTTTTGACAGTTTGTTTTAGTTTGATGTATTTGAGTTTATCCATGATTTTTGGTGCTGCTTTTCTCTGGTTATTACATTTACTATAATGGATTGGCTCTAACCTTTAAGTATAATCCACCTTGAACAGGCAGCTGAAAAGATAGAAAAGCAGCTGAAAAGGTGGAGATAGTCATAACTATTTAAGAATATTTAAGTATTTACTGCAACCATCACAGGCATGGAATCTGCTGGCATTCATGAAACCACCTATAACAGCATCATGAAGTGCGACATCGATATCAGAAAGGACCTCTATGCAAACAACGTCCTGTCTGGTGGAACCACCATGTACCCTGGCATTGCGGACCGCATGCAAAAGGAAATCACTGCCTTGGCACCCAGTACTATGAAAATCAAGGTACACCATTATTGGTCATTATCACATTTGTAGCAGTGCATCCCTAACTTAACTTTCCTAGTGGGAAAGACAGGAATGGAGAGTAAGGGAAATGGGAGCACCACCAGAACTTTAGTATTAGAGCAGAGATGTTTTGGTCTACAAATCCCTTCATCACTCATCATTGGCCATGCTGGCTAGGGCTATTGTTTCTGTATAGCCTAAAGTGTCTGATCCTGCCTTATTCTTGGAAGCTAAGCAGGGGCAGGCCTGGCTGAACGCAGGATGGGTGATTTGAATCTTGTGAACCACCCAGATGGCATTGCCTATGGGCGATATAGAAATGTTAAGGTGATGCTAATAATAATAATGGGAATTGTGGGTTGAAGCTTCTGGAGGGCCTCAGGTTGCCAACCCAAATTCTAGGGTGAGATTTCATCTTTTTTTCCTGTAAGGAAAAGAGATACCGGAAGGTTATCATAATTATGCTTACAAAAGTATCCTATTGAGTAACTTTACCCTCAGTGTTCTGCAGCAAATCTTCCTGAAAACAGAATTCCTTTTTCAAGTCAGAGCAAAACAGAAATCTGTGTAAGAGGGCTTTTGTGAAAAAGCTGAAAGCTAAAGAAGTGTTGACTTACTCCTGTCAAATAAGCTCAATTAGCTAAGCTCACTTAGACAAGTGGAGACTTTAGGAACAGTTTCCCGTGCCCCCACCCCCATGAGCCTGCATATGCGCAATGTGGGCTTTTCTTATTTTTTGCCATAGGAATAGTTGTTTATGTAGTGCATAGTATCTTGCTGACATCAGTTTAACTAGAATGTCCTTTTTCTCCAGATTATTGCTCCTCCAGAGAGAAAGTACTCGGTTTGGATTGGGGGCTCTATCCTCGCCTCTCTTTCCACATTCCAACAGATGTGGATCAGCAAACAGGAATATGATGAGGCTGGCCCATCCATTGTTCACCGCAAATGCTTCTAAGTTTGCTTCCCCTTTTACTTTCTCTCGTAGGCACATTAGCAGTGGTGTATGCAGGAATAATTCCAGTCTTATAGCCCCATTCCAATATTCCAAATATCTTTATGTTTCCAATCAGATTTACATGGAGTATTTGGGGGGGGGGAGATAAATCATGACCATGTTATCAGTTAGATGCTTATGATTTTATTAATAAAACACTTCCCATTTTCCTTATGGACTACAACGAATGAAACTCTCTTTTGGAATATAAAGAGCTAAAAGAGCAGATAGACCCTTCTGTAGTCAGTCTTTGCATCACAAACACATGTGGGTAGCTCTTGCAACAGGAATTACCTCTGAGCTTGAACCTCCATGAGCAGATGTAGTTGGCCTTTGAATACCAATTGCTGATGGGCTTGGGGTCACAATAGGGAAGGGGTGTTGCCCTCCTTGTGGGCTTCCCAGAAGCATTTGGCTGCCAGTACTGTGAACTAGATGCTAGGCTAGGATGAAGTTTTGGTTTGGTTCTCCGTATGTTCTGACAATGGCAAGGATAACTGAAGTCCAAACCCAACAGTGAAGAAGGCTTCTTGGGGTACTTAAAATCATAAGCTCACACATGCATCATGGGTCCCAGCAAAGGACAGACCCCAGGAAGGCGGTGCTAGTTTTCTGGTGGAGATGTGTATAGTTCAGCTCCTATGAGATAGGTGGTTGTGACAGCAGCAGGCGTCGTCCAACTGAGACTGTGCTGAAATTTTCACTTTTCTAGCACATTCAGTGGGATTCCATTTTTTTCTGAAAACATTATGTTCCATGCCTTTTTGGCTAGCCAGGCTGGCAGGGATTCAACTGAGGGACTTTGACCGCAGAAAGGAGCAGGGCAGAAAGCGGACAAGTCATGGCTCAATTTCTTCACTACTCCTTGCAATGAAGGTAAAGGACCAAGCCGGGGACCTGTGGGTGTCAAGGCAGGGCCCTGCCCTGTGATTCATGGTTAGGAGGTGGGCAAGGTGGAGTGTCTGTATATGCATTTGGAAGAGGATTCTTCCATAACTTATGTTGACTACTAAAGCAAGAAACACTGAAAACGAGAGTTGCCCCTGATTTATGAAACTAACGCTAGATCTACAGTTTCAGCTCTGATTTTGCCCAAATATTTTCAGCAATTTCACAGAAGCTGAGCCACCTTCAAATCACCTTGCTTTTGGTTGTCAAGTTGGAAATGTGTCCAAAGTCCACTGAACTCAACTGGAACGAGCTCTCCAGTGTTACACATCCCAAGGAGCAGAAAAGGGGGATTGGGGCAGCACAGCATGTTCGGTGTGCCACCTGATTTAGAGTAACCTGAAGAAAACACTGAAGTGGATAAAGCAAGATCTGACCAATGCATGTACTGGCACAGATTTATGCCTGGACATGTCCTCCAAGCCAATGCAAGCTGCTGCATCCATGGACCTGGAAGCCCATAACCTCCTATCCATATGCTGCATTCAAAAAGAATGCTGCCTAAGCAGAAATTTTTCTCCCTCTCTGTAAATGCTACAATGTGGCATCATCCCACGAAGCTGACTGGTGGGAGGTTTAGGCAAGACCAGGGGAAGTATTTCTTCACACGCCATATAAACCATGGAATTCACTGACACAGAGAATGGTGATGGCTATCTATTGGGATGGCTTTCAAAAAGGGATTGGACAGAGACATGTGGGAGGAGGTTCCTGCTGGCAACTAGCTATGTTCTAGCTCCTTTACCAGAGGCGCATGGCTGCATACACAAGTTGCTGAGATGCTTGACCGGCAGAGGTCTTGTGCCCATCCTGAGGAAACCTGTGGGCAGCTACCTGCCGCCATGTGGAACGCAGACTGATCTGATCTAGCATGACTTTTCTTATGTTCTTATTTATTTTCCAATTTATATCCTGCCTTTTTCCTACGAAGGGCTCAAGGCAGCTTACATCATTCTCCTCCTCCATCTTATCCCCACAGCAACAACCCTGTGAGGTAGGTTGGGCTGAGAGTCTGCGACTGGCCCAAAGTCACCCAGTTGGCTCCATGGCTGAGCGGGGACTAGAACCCAGATCGTCTGAGTCCCAGTCCCATGCTCTTAACCACTACACCACACTGCACTGGCTCACCAGTGTTATATTTGTTGTAAAGCAAGTAACAACCATCAGGCCAACCAATTCTAGCAAGTCTGATTTTCTGACAAAACTAGAGAGTGTAGTGGCCAACAATGCCAGTTTTTATCAGATATTATGTATCCAGGCACAAAAAGACTCATCTTGTATAATGTACAGCTGAGATAAAGGCTCTCTGATCAGCCATATGGTGCAGAAATACAACCCCCATTATCCCTGATCATTGCTCATACTGTTAGGAACCCATGTTTGAATCCAACATTTAGAGTACAAGAAGTCCCCTGCTCCACAGCAACACCCATGGGACTAGCTAGACAAGCATGAAGGGTGCTTGCATGTTTTTTAAAAGCAAATACCGGTGCTGTGGCAAAGACCACTGTCCCCAGGATCACAGCATGCAGGATGGTGAGGTTTAAGCCTTGAGTCTTGGAAAAATCTTCCTTTACATGGTAATTAGCACTAAGAACAAAAAACACATGAGTGTCAATAACAAGTCTTTTTCAAGGTCTTTTTGCCTGGAGTTCCCTTTCTTGGTAGAACATCAGAGTATCAATCAAATACATTGGCTCCCCATCTCACCCATCTCCATCATGCTAACGACTAGCACCTGTGGATAGCTTCGTCCTTTCTTTAAGTGGTGTGCCATCAAGCCGCCTCTGACTTATAGTGACTCTATGAATGAAAATCCACTGAGATGTCCTATCCATGACACTCCTGCTTAGCTGTTCTAAATTCAAGGTTGTGACTTCCTTTATGGAGTCAATCCTTTAAAGGGGAAAATATGCTTGAATTCCCATGACTATAGTCCCTATTTCCAACCTGCATCTAGCAGTTATTTTTGAATGTGCAGTGAGCTTTCAAAAATATTTACCAAGTGGAAAAACTGCAGTTCAGCACAAGCATGAAATCCAAAATAAAACATCAGAAGCACTACAAAGATTCCATTACAGCCAGTGTTTCAAATTTGTTTTATTTTTACAGTATTGTAGTATAACAACATATTCTGACTGAATGACACTGTAAACTGTATCTTGGAAATCAATAAAATAACTTCAAAATGGGAAAGGGTAATAAATAGTGAACTATTAAATCTAAACCATACAAATATAAAATGTCAGTAACTTTTGGAAAACACTGTAGGAAAATCTGGCAGCCATGTTCTCCTTTGGGCATCTGTTTTGTGGAAGCAAATCTTCTGTTGGTCTTTCATCTCCCCATATGTATCACCTCAAATCCAAAACAGTTATTTTGATATCTTTCCCAATGACATGTTTACACATCTGTAAAAGAAGTCAACAAAATAAATCCTGGACTGACTCTGCTGGAAGAAGTAAACTAATTCTGCAGTAAATCAAAACAAGCCATTTAAAAGACAGCACATGGTACTGTGAAAGGGATCCATTTGGTGTTCCATTCTCCATCTAGAGCTCTGTTCTCTGCTGGGAAACTAATTATTAAGTGGAGCATGGTAATTTTCCAGCTTCAATGACCTCTTAGTTAATGTAAGCTCCACCACATTTACAGCCTTATGAAAGGGATGTAACAAGGTTGGTGTCTGATGTGGCAGTACTAGTTCTAGTTCTGCCAATACACTTTTGTCCAATAGCCGAAAAAGAAATTATGGAAGAAGGTACATTTTCAATGCATTCATCTTTCCTTTCACTATTTATAACTCATACAAGCTGGGCAGAAAACATTACCCATATAAAGTATTATAATATCTTTAAGCTTTATATAAAGTCCACATACCTAGTTCTGTTCATCTGCTACAGCAAAAACAGCAAGGAAACTATATTTATTGCTATATGCTGTTAAATCATCTCTGATTTATGGCAACCCTATGAATAAATGCCCTCCATAATGTCGTGTTCTTCACTCTTGCAAACTGTGGCATCTTAAAGACTAACAAATACATTTTGGCATAAGCTTGCAAGGTCACTGCCACTTTTCAGATCTGAGACTAGCAGTCACAGGTTCAAGAGCCCAAGAGTTCCACGGTGCTCTGCACAAACAAGAATCTGGAAAAAGGCAAGGTCTCAAAAACATGATCCCAACAATAACCCAATAGGGACTACAGTCTTGGGATCCCAAGGAGACACAGCAGATGAGGGCAGGTAGAAAGAGTTAAAATCAGTCCAAAAGTGCTCACATCATGATGCAGTCCAAGGCAAAGGGGATCCACATTCATTAAGGCCAGGTCCTAACCCTTACCCCATGCAAAGGCTGTCTGAATGACAGCTAAGCTGTGAGCTGTGTCCTCCTTGTTAGCAATTGACCTGCATGTTATTGGACTTTTCATGCCTGTCCCTTATGACCTCCTTAGGGTACTCATCTCTAAGGCCCTGGGCATCCTCTGGTCTACTGGAAGACGTGGAGCATGTGTGGTAGCAGGTGGCTCCTTGTCTTCAGCTATTGTTCCTCTGAGGAGTATTCCAGAAAGGGCATGACAGCCACTATCCACTTCATGATGACCATCAACACTTTTGCTAGAATAAATCTGCTAGTCTTTAAAGTGCCACCAGACTATGTTCACTTACGCGCGCACACACACACGCAATTCATGGCAATTTCTGCTTCTCCTTCCCTAGGATATTCTAGTTTATTCTGAAGGTGATGTGGAATTTATTTCATCAGAGAGAAAGCCATTTGACTTCTGCATGTGGGGGCTTATTTTTTTAATGCACAGCTGTGCCATGATCTGGGGGCAGTTCCTACATTAATTCCGGGGTGAACAGTGCAACCATTTCCCCCCTTTACAATGCTTCTAGAAGCAATGGTACATTGTTACATTTTTTTAATTTTCAAGGTGCATTTTTCAAGACTCATACTGGAAGTATGATATGACTTTTATCTTTACAGAATTTTTTAAAAAAATAATAAGAAATTATGGAAAAAAAGGCCTCAGACCACTATGTACTTCTCTAAGATAACTAGCATTCCCAACTGACTCCTCTTCCCATCTTTGGGATGGCTCCTCCCTCTCAGCACCCCCAGGAAGCCAATGATGTTTCACTGCAAGAACATTTAGATCAGCCCTAACTAACATTGCTTTCTTCCCTCTTTCCAGATAAGTTCTTTGTAAGAAAAACTCCAGATGCAAAAAAGTAGGAAAAAGAGAATGACAGTACATAAAGAACAGCCTCCAACGCATGTTAGTATTTTAGATCGAGCCACTCCTTGATCTGAATGAACAACCATAACTCCATATTGAGGCACTGTTTAAAAGATACGTGTGTATGCCTTAGCCAAAGCAATGAAATGGAATTTTGTCTTACATTAAACAGCCTAGGGTCCTTGGTATGGGGATGAAAGCCCTTCATTCTACAAGCAGAAACTTCCAACATGCCGGCATTAGTAAGTCTGAAGATACCCGTGCTAGGAAGCAAAGAAAACATTATATCTACTGAAGCGGCCAGAACAGAGCAACAAAGGTATATCTTCACAGTGAGTAAAAAAAACAGGTGTGGTTCTGAGATGCACAGCAAACAGAGGAGCTTTATGGTGCCTTCCAGGGACATCTCAAGGCACACCTGACTACTAACACTAATTATGCTAGTAGTAGTGGTTAGAAGCAGCATATGCTCAGCAGTAAAGTAGTTTACACCAAGTGTGAAAAGTTGGTTCTGCGTCATCTAGCTCTGCCCACTTGTACTTATACTGCCCTTGCTGCAATGTTGCATCTGGCAACCTCAGCCTGATTCTAAGAAGTAGGTGAGGATATCTTGGAAAGGTAACCGCTCTCCCTGCACTGAAGTGCCAGAGGTGCATCACATAGCATTTAATGGTTGCCTTATATATTGGACTACAGGTGTGCATGTTATGCCAATATCCACACTGCAAGCAAGTTATGACTGCTTTAATAAATGGAGCTCAAAACCACCAGTTGTTAGCAAAATCAGTCCCATTTTAGAAAATGTAGACCTTGCAAAAGCCAGTTAGAAATCATTTCAGCTGACCGATCATTTGCTTTTTAAGTTAACCAATCAAGGTTAGGTACATCTATGCCTTACATATAAACAGATCTACATGCACGCCCCCATCTCTAGTTAGAACCACCTTAATTAGCAAGGCTCAGAGAAACAGATGTCTAAAAACTTGGGAAGCCACTGCTGTCAGAGGAAGCAATAAAGGAACAATGGGCCCACAAGCAGATAATTTGGCACTGCATGGGCAGAATGCTGGACTTGATGAACCCTTGATTCTAACTGTCTGACACAATGGCCAGGTTCACATGTAACATGAGATAGCTTCATACATGTATTTGTCTGGATCACTAATGTTTTCTTTATCATTTCCTATTGCATGATGAAACCAAAACAGCATCACAAACTAAACAACTATCTCCACAATTACAGCTCCACCAACTATACTGAATAAACTGACAACACGAATCTTCCAAATGACAACTTGTATCTGTAATAAGATTAAGGTTGGACTCCTGCAATGCGCACATGAGATCCGTATTTACAGCAGTGACCCGATACACTGAGTCGTTTGTCTTCTAAGCTAAGTGTTGCATGTGGGCATCTGTGTCTACTCTTTGTCAAAATGGTTTGGGACTGTAAATGGGCCTATGAATCCAAGAATCTAAAAGTTAGAAACAAACTTTCAATCAAACCAAAAACAGTGAAGAATACTATGATGCCAAAGCGTGTAATCATTCCACTTCATTCACATGCTGAAATAAAATGGTCATCTAACGTTATCGTTTGTGAATGAACACTAGATACCAGACATATACTTCTAACTTTTTCTTTGCACTGTATCTTTCATTTGAAAGTGCTATTGTAAGTGACTGATCCCTGGAGAGGGGGAGAAAGAACTCACTCATTGTGTTTTGGTGAACAAACAATTGCAATAGCCTCAGGTAGCATGAGCTGATAAGAACAATGTGTATGAAGATCAACACTGGATAAGAATGCAGTCTGCGTTGGGTGCGTCTACAAAGAAGAAGAAAAATGTCTACATGGTGAATGCACTCCCCCCCCCTCAAATCAAGGTCAAAATATAATCAAGGAGAAGCTCCTCAGTCTGAGGATTTGTTCTGTTAATTTCTGGCAGTGAGGGCAACTTCACCTCCTATTTTCTTCTCTCAAAGGGATAAGACTGCATAAGAAGCATCTTTTTCTGTACAGGAAAGAGTACTTCACAGTCAAGAACATTTTGTAAGTTACCCACTGAACTATGTGTGTGTCAGTGAACAGGAGAGAAAAATTCCAGAAAGGAACAGGAAATCAAGGTTTGTGCTTATGCAACTTACTTTTGGAAATGGAAAACAGTAAACAATTAAATTGTAATTCCAATTCAATTGGTGCAATTAGCTTTTTGGAGTGCATCCAAAGCTCACATCATTTTGTTCAGATATAGCATTTCCTGTTAAGCACGGAATTATCTGGAGGGAGAAGAGGCAGAGCTTGTCTCTTGTTTGTAGCTGCAGGAGCTGTGCATGTGGTTAATTGGCTGGCTTTTATGCCAGTCGTACATCCACCCCCACAACCCAAGTAGTTTTTCCAAGTTTTAAACAACTGTCTAGAATTTATGAAAAAGAAAGGGAAAAAAGCACCATCCAAATGCTCACTTGGAACATCTTCCAAGGTGCTTGGAGGAAAACAGTGGACTGTCCACCAGCAGCATTGACATGGGAGAGGTGAAGAAGAAATTACTGTTAGATTTGGAGGCAAGTATACGTGGGAATGGATATGTGCGAGGAAGTGTGTGCATTCACATGAAAAAGTGAGTGTCTGTAGACCCTGCCCACTTAATGCTGCCCTAACACATTTTTTGCTTTGGGCCCACCCACCACCAGCATGCAGCCCTCCAGAAGGTTGGCCAGAGGGGAATGTGGAATATTCATGCATACGTACATGGATCCAGCCCAGAGTGAGAAGATCATGTTGGTCTTGAACACTGAAGAGCTCTTCCACATTCTCCATGTCACAGTAGTCTGGCCCTGCAGACTGTTTTGGCACTATCACATGAGTGATAGTGAATTCATTATATGTCTGCAAAATACAGGTGCGGGAGAACAGCTTTTTGAACAATTACTGAACGTTAATCCCTAGAATAACTGTCAATATTGATTAACTTAATTCTTGTGACTGATTTTAGGGAATCAAGGCTAATTGAATCCTGATATATATGCCTGGACCCAACTCCCTCCATAGCCAGCAGAGCCAATGATGAATATGAATACACACCTCGTATCTGGAGGGCAGCATACTTCCCATGCTGGCCCGCAGTGCCTAGCAGAGGGAATTTTTCCATAGCCCTATTCAGAGACTACAGCTATAGAACTTGTGATCTTTTGAATACAAAATGATTTGCGTACAGAGGCCATGATCTACTGCTGAGCTACAGAAATCTCACAGCATGTGAATCAATTGACATGTGGCTGGAAAAAATAATATGACTTGGTCCTATTCACACTTACTTCAGTTTACGTTCTGTTGAGCTCAGTGGAATTTACTTCTCAAGGAAACATATATAGGACAGCACAATGCATACTTTTTGCCCTATTAGCCAGGCTATATGTGAGGCTGAGCAATTTATATATAGTAATGTACCAACTTCACAGCTGACTATTTCTGTAATGTGAATATGAAGCAGGAACATACATAATTTATGCCCACAAGCAAAATCTAAGTGATAATACTTATTTGCTAGAACAGTCTCTTCTCCCTAAAAGAAACCTGATATTCTACATCATTAGCTTCTGTTATCTTTAATTTCATTTTTCCTGTAACAAAATCTCATTTCTGTTTCATAAGCCCCAGAAAATGCACAAAGAATCCTTTAATGAGCCTAATTGCACAAAGAATGCTTTAATGAGCCTGACTGCACAGTAAGCTGATGGCTTAATTAAATTACATGCTATTCACTAATATAAACTATTTCTGCAAACAACAAATTAGTCAGAGTTTCTGAGCAGGCCCAAACTGCTAATAGTCAATTATATACCACACTTACACGTCAGAACTTTTGCTCTGATAGCAGTTCATTACAGGAAAATATAGTACTATCAAAAGTGCCTTCCCCATACAAATGTGAAGGTTCAACTGTACCAGTTTTCCACAGAGAATTCCACATGTCTCTATTCCTCTTACTGTATTTGACTCTGCTAGCTGCAGAAATTTGTGACAAAGATCCTTGGGCAGCACCACACTTCTCATTGCTTCAGCCGCATTGTCTAACAAAGAGAGAGCGAGAAATACAAGTTACTAATATGGAAATATCAGGTGTAAAAAGCTCTCATGCACACCGTTTAAAAAACATGCAACCAACTGAATGCATATTCCAGTGGTGGTGGGGGGGCATTATTTTGCAATAATCAGCATTCAGGGCCTCTACAGCCATTAAGCCACTACAGTAACATGATGTTTGACTTCTGTGCCACAACCAGAAGTGGACATTTCTGTAAGACAGCCTTGTAAACAAGTCCACAAATATTGCAAGCCAGCAAACATTTTTGCTAGCTGGTTAAAAAGCCAGTGTGGAAAGACAGGCAAGTAGTTGCTTGGGAGTTTGGGAATGCTCCCCAACCCAGAGCTGTCCTTGGAGTTTCCTTGCTGTGGCAAGGAGTGCTTTCCTTCAGCTTTGGCTGATTCATCAACTGCACCCTTACCGGAATGAAGATAGACTAGCAATGGTGACCCATTGGGCTATTGTAACTCGCTGTACATGGGGCTACCCTTGAAGATAGTCCAGATACTTCAGTTGGTTCAGAATAGAGCAGCCAGGATGTTAACGGGGACCAGCAGAAATACACACACAACTCCGGTGCACTACCACCTACACTGGCTACCACTGAAGTCTGGGACCAATTTTAGGTGCTGGTGATGACCTATAAAACCCTAAATGGCTTTTGACCTGGATATCTGAAGGAGTGTCTCCTGTGCCTACTAGTGCCTTAAGATCTGGGTTAGAGGTCCTTCTTTGGAAGCCCTCTTTGAAGGAGACTGGGAGAGTGGCTACCAAGAGAAAGGCATTCTCAGCAGTGGTGCCCCAGTTATGGAATACACTCCTCAGAGAGGTCTGCCTGGTGATCACACTTTATTCTTTTCAGTGCAATGAACAGGCTCAGATCAAACACTGTGGCTTGTCATGGGTACTTTAACCCACAAAGAGCTGCAGTGCTTGTGGAGACCATATTGCATATGTAATCCCCCAGCTGGAGGCTGTTGTATTGTGCAAAACACACTTAGCATGAGTTCTTTAGCCTTTGCATAACCCTGATCAGATCACAGGCTATGGGAGGGTTGTCTAACCCTTCCATAAATCATGCTTGCCAGGTTCACATGATACAATTTCCATCCAGCTGGCCACAAGCACTCCATATGTATCAAGAGCTTCACTGTGGGTTAAATAATGCTTGGTGGGCTGTCATGTCATGCAAACAGGCCTATTGTCTTGGAGAGCTTCATTAGATTAAAGTACAAATTATTAACTGCTATTTCTTGACTGCTTTCACTTAAAAGAAATCCCCCAACACAAATCAAACCAAGATCTTGGCAAGTTCCTCTTCAGGAAACCACCCAAAACTCAACTCATATTGAGGTGAACAAATAATGGAACAGCCTGTACCCACCGCCCCATCAAGGAGAGGATTGAAAGGGAATAAAACAGTTCTTTCAAAGATATATTTTTGTGTATTGGTGCTTCAGAACTTGCTCTCAATGTAGCAACATTTCACTTGTCCAGGATTTTAGTTTCTGGCACAGTGTAAGTTTTAGGTCAGATCTCTCAGGTGGAATACCACCTGTCCTGAATGTTGGCAATAAAGTGGGCAATGAATACTAAGGGAGCAACGACAGGCAAACAAGCCAACAAGCGAGGTGACTGCTTACTCTGCACAGCACTGAGTGTGGCAGCTGGCTTCAAGGCCCGAGTTATGGGAGGAGACTGCCCAGCAGAAGTATCGCTCTTGTTCGCTATGGTTGCAGGGAGCGTGCTGTTTAGATGGCTTGAAATGCACGAAGACAACATGCTCCCATCAGTTTGCTCAGATGTAACTGAATGATTCTTAATTTTCTGGTCACGGGCCAATTCTTGTTTCTTCAGTTGGTCTTCAAAGAACTGAAACTGCTCCGTTTCCAGCTGCTGTTGGCGGATCTGTGCAATCCTCCTCTTCTCTGCTTCAATCAATTTCTGTTGCTCTAGTTTCTTCAGTAATTCTGCATTGCATTTGTTCTTGGAAAAAAGTATTAAATGAAAAGATTTGATCAACCATTAAAATAAGGGAAGATTCTTTAGTTTTATCCCAGGAGTGGAAGCCTAATGGGACTCCTACTACATGAGGCAAAGCAGAACCACATATCTGCCCTGCCCATAAAGTGAAGGGAAGTATGATTTGAAGGCCGGGCAGAGTGATGCTGGACCCACCTCTGCCTGGACCTGCTTCTGAGACTGCTGGGTTAAACGACTGATACCATTCTCCCCTGCACAATTTTTGATCCTTTGGGTTGCATTCATCACTCTGTTTTGCAGGTGAAAGTGGCAGATCTACACATAAAGGCATAGGAATGCCATCAACATGTGTAGTTTGGGCCTGGGAAATAAAGGCATGTTCCACATATAAATCATACACATCATCCAGGCATATAAATGACCTGGTGAGCACAAATTATTAACCCTTTTTTATTATTTAAAGCATGGCTATTGTCTAGCCGGTGATCAAACAAACCACAGTTGGTTTGATCACCGGCTCAGTCTCAGTTTCTGGTCTGTTTCCTTTCTCCTTCACCTGTCCCTCTCTGTATCCTAACTACCTTTGTGGCACTGCAGTACTGGCATATAAAGAGAGGATGTTCTGTTTTATCACTCTTGTCCACTTTCCCTGTAGCTTTGTGAAATGGTTCATGAACAACTTGTGACTCTGAGTTCACCTGTAATAAAAGTCCATGGTTGGAACAACTCACAGATCACAATCCAATGACAAACCATGGGTTCTTTTCATCGGTTGCACCTGGTTAACAACTGATAAGTGTTCTACACATAATGACAATCCACAATTCAACAAATTATGCTTTGTTGTCATATGTGAATACAGTCAAGGCAGACTTGGAACCCTTGGAACCTATTTAAATCAGGCTGGAAGGCCTTAATATTTGATACAGAAAAAGCCAGAAGCCTTTAACATTGCCTTTTATGAGATATTTACAAAACTTATTCATATTCATGCATACTCACGTAGAAAGGACTAAATGATAGTTTATTATTCAAATACGTAGGTGGAAAATAATGTCAGAACTTCCTTCCCTATCCATATTTTGGCCGATTATACACTTTCACACTATGCTGCTCTAATGATTTAGACTGCAATGCTATGCTTTGGTTGCAAGCATCACTGTACCAATCTTGTTGAGTTCCATGGGGTTTAAGCAGTCTGGGACAAGGATTGCAATTAATACGCAGGATTTCAGGGTTCTTTTTTAAAGAAATGATGTGGGCCATAACCCCCTTCATGGATCACTGCCTTGTTGTGGCGAAGAGGCTTGTGAAGCTCAATGAAGCTATGAGCTATGCCGTGCAGGGCCACCCAAGATGGAAAGGTCAAAGCAGAGAGCTCTGACAAAAGCTGATCCACTGGGGAAGGAAATAGCAATCCACTCCAGTACCCTTGCCATGAAACCCCCACGGACAGTACCAAAAGGCAAAAAGATATGACGCCGGAAGATGAGCCCCTTAGGTCGGAAGGTTTCCAATGCGCTACTGGGGAAGAGCGGAGGGCTAGTACTAGTAGCACCAAAAGAATGAAGCGACTGGGTCAAAGCCGAAAGGACACTCAGTTGCGGATGTACCTGGTGGTGAAAGGAGAGTCCGATGCTGTAAAGATCTATCCTCCATAGGAAGCGGACTCCAGGGGATGGTGGAGGACAGGAATGGAGCAATGTTGTCCATGGGGTCGCGATGGGTTGGACATGACTAGCAAGCAAGTGGGCCATAACATGCATTTAAGGCACTCTCACCATCCTTTGCCAGTGAGCTCTGGCAAAAATCAAGGAAGCCAGTGGAGGCCACTGTGTTTGCAACAATGGATGCTATTTTGTCACTGATTTTTCTTCTTTACCAAGCTTTCTGGTCAAGGCAGTGCATGCCAAGGCTGCATGGTCTTTGGGCTATACAGTTCATGGCTTCCTTTGTTGTTAAGGCAAGAATGGGCAACAGGCAGTCCTCCAGTTGTTTTTCACTATAACTTGCACCATCCCTAACCAGTGTGGCCCATGGTAAGGGATGGTGGAAGTTGCAGGTCAAAACATCCGCAGGGCTGCAAGTTGCTTGATGCCTGGGTTAGGGCTTGCAGGTCTAACCCAGTAGGAATGAGGAAAGTGAGACACATCAATACAATGGAACATTTTTGTGGATCAAGTAGTTTGGTTTTTAAGTACATACAAATATATTCATATCTTAATGGGCAGTCCCTTGTTTTGTTCACTTGTATATGTTTTTCAAGATGACAATGGCACTCACAACCATCACTACCACAAGGAGGCATCAATGCAAATGTCAAAGGTAATGATCTTTCCTTTCTCAAAACAAATTTTTACAGCACAATTCCATGTATGTTTACTCAAATATAAATACCACTTAATTAAATGGGGCTTACTTTTAAGCAAGTATGCATAGGGTTGCACTATTAATCTAACTGATAACAGTGGTTCAAGATAGTAAAGTCAGACATTTGCCTAAGCTTTGTTATACAGAATATTTATGAAATATTTCACTTATCATTAAGAATTAAAAGATACAGTTGTTTTGATAAAAATTACCTTGTCTTGCATATATTCCTGGTATTCTGCATTGTATTTCTTTAACAAGTCCTCCTTCAGTTCATCAGTCCTAGGAAATGCTATATTCTTCAGTTTCTTTAGTGGGGGAAATGACAAAAAACAGTATATTCATGAATTCATTTTGTTTTCCACTGAAAACCTACAAAATCATCAGCTTGATTCTGTAATGATTAGAGTTAGATTGAGGACCTGCACAATCTGGGTTCTAGTCCTCACTCAGCCATGAAGCTTTACTGGATTCTTTGGATTAGTCACTGACTCTCAGCCCAAGCTACCTCACAGGGTTGTTGTTCCGAGGATAAAATGGAGCTGTGTAAGCCACCTTCAGTTCCTCACAAGAGGAAAAAAGGTGGTATATAAATTCAATGTGATGATGTTGACAACAACGGCAGCGATGATGGAAGCAAACTATTCATTACTATTAATTAAATAAAAAGGAATAAATTAAGGCTCAGTACTGCGAAGCAAATTTAGTAGCAAGCAGGGCCATTCTCAACAGGGCTGAAAGGCTGCTCAGACGCAGGTTCCCCCTTCACTTCAGCCTTAACAAGAGCATATCTGATATCTGGTGTGTATCTTAACTGCTGAATCTGCCCTTGTGCATGTTAGCAATAGGTTCTGGAGGTCATGGAGCTGCTTTTTCAGCAGCAAAGCTCACAGTCTTTGGCCACATGGTACGGAAAATGTATGACGTCTCATTGTTTCAATGTGCAGAACTGCTCAACAAATGGCAAACACAGTTTCTGTACTCGGACTGACAGGGGTGGGGGACAAGAACACCTGGCATTTCCAGAGAGCCTCCAGGTCCCAAACATTCCTGCAAGGCCCACCAGGCTGCCATTATTAATTCTTGGAAAGAAGCACATTTATTGAAAATGCTGGTAACAAGAAAAGCTACTCTACCTTCATAATATCCTGCTTTTCTGGAATGGCACATTGTTGGTAGTCTCGATGGTAGGGCAGCTTTTCTACAAACAAACTAGAAAATGAGACACATACGTTTTTCTCCTTGCAAGCCTCATCAGCATCCACAATATAATTGCATGAGACAGGAGAAACATTCCTTTTAAAAAAAATACAGCTTTGTATGATTTTGTATTAAAATCCCGACACTGATGGTCTGTTGCTGGTTCACACGGGGTCTAAGCACACAGGTATACCATGTTTTGTGATGAAATGCCACTAATTCTACAGAAAGTATTCTGGAAGAAGTGGTTTTCAATTACAGCTTATTTTTACAGTATTTTAAACAATGGGTGATAAAAGCGAGCGAGCACCCAAATCCTCCTTCTGAGTACCTACTTTAAAAGAAATTAACATTACTTTGCACTATCCTTCCCTCCTTTCTACTAGGATTCATGTTGTCTCTGCTGTAAGCTGACACGCCTGTGACCACTGAGACTAGGGACTTGCACAGTGCAAGGCTCCTACTAAGCTTCAGGCTTCCACATCTCACACTGCTTTTCCTCAAATGCTTTATTTAACAGGACTCTACCAACTGTGGCTGCACTTGGTAGCGTAGTAGCTAGGAGTGCAGAAATGGAACTCAGGAGAGCTGGGTTCTAGTCCACACTCAGCCACTGAGCTCCCTGGGTGACTTCGGGCCAATCAGACTCACAGCCCAACCTGAAGAATGTTAATGAGGACAGGACTAAGAGTGAAGAATTATATAATTCCCTTTGAGTTCCTTGAAAGGAAAAAAGGAAGGCTATAAATATGACAGCGAGAGCGCGCGAGAGAAGTTCTGCCAGCCAACAGGGATGTACAAAGATGCCTTGAGCATCAGGTAGTGTGTTGTGTTGTTATGATTCCTCTAGGCAAGAGCTGCCTCACCCCTCCCACAACAATGAAAGAACATGGCTGACAGGACTGGCAGCATGGCTTCTCCACAGGGCTGACTCCCCCAGCACGTCCCTCTTGGGAAATTGAAGTTAGCCCCTCTCTCTCTTCAAAGCACTCGCTATTATAAATAAAGAACACGAATCATCAGTACTGCACTGTGCAAAAAAACAAAGGAACTGGTTTTCCTGTAATCTTGACCAACAGTTCTTCACAATTGCTTTTCCTTGCCCCAGTAAATGCTTTGCCTTAAGGCTGGCTTTTGGTCTTTGCACATATTCCCTACATAGAACTTGATTTGCACCTATGTGCGGCCTGGGAGGTATCAGGTTTTGATGTCAAAATGAAAGGCTAATCAGCACAATCCTTTTCTCCATGGATACTCTCAGTTCTCCATAGATCTCTGGTCTAGGTTTCCTATGTTTCCTTGCATTTTTTTTAATCAGGCCCTGGACAAAGCATAAAGAATGGCTGAAGTTAGCTGCTCCAAGGTTCTGGTTCGCTCTTCTCAGACATATACTGGGAATCAAGGGGAGAGAGAATGGAAAGGGAGGCACCCAGTTTGCAGCCATAAATCCACTCTGCTGCAGAAGACAAGCCAAGCAAAGTAACAGTGCTTAGGAAGGGAGAAACATGCACACACATGGAAGGAGCTAAAATGACACTGCTGGCTTGTAGTCCACCATCCAGAGGCCTGTGGGGCAAAGTAGGATTAATTATTCAGAGGCAGAAGCTGGCCTGGCAGCCATGTTTCCTGGCTTAATGCCAGCACAGTCTCTCTTCTCACCCTCTTAAGAACAAAATACAGTGTTTTTGTATTGATGAGACTGCTCACTAGAACTAAACTCAAAGTTATCATGGTGATAGTCATGGCTTCAATTGTCAACCGTTTATTAAAAGATGGATTGGATAATTGTATGAAGATATATTGAGAGCAAATGTGGCATACTGGGACTCAGAAGATTGGCGTTCTAGTCCCCACTTGGCTATGAAACTCTGGGTGACTTTGGACCAGTCACACACACTCTGTCCAACCTACCTCACAGGGCTGTTGTTGTGAGGATAAGATTGAGAGAAGAACCTTGTAAACCAACCTGAGTTCTCTGCCAGAGGTAAAAAAGCAGTATATAAATGTAATTCAGTAATAACGATAACAGCAGCAATAGTAGTAAAGGAATTAACTAAAAGGCTTGTGTAAATTATACAATCATTGACTTGAAGGTAGGGTTTTTCAGGTGCATGACTGCATTCAAATGCAACTCATTTGACTAAGTCAGAGTCTCTAAACCCTTAGTTAGGAAAGGTACATGTGCAAGGTCACCCTAGGCTGCACTAGGAGAATGACTGGGTTCACATAACACAATAAGCCATGGTGGCTTACCGGCCAAGAGCGGCTTGTCATGTTCTCTAAAGTGCAGCATGCCTTGTTATTCACTCTGGCCTGGTTTGGACAACACAATGAATCTACACTGGTTTATAAGCCACCATAGTTCATCATGTTGTGTGAACTCGGGCAATATTTACTTGGTGTACACAATCAAGAGGCTTCCCCTGCCCAACCCACACATCATACAAACCAAGAATTTCAGTTTGCTGAGGAAAACAAAAGCAGATATGGAGCACTGCTCCTTTGTCCTAAATTATATTGCTGAAATAAAAGCTTGGGCATGACAAGTAGAAGATTTTTGTGTGGAAGAACTGTGAGCATTTTTAGGTTGTGATACTTGAAATCAATTCTGGGACTCCTTATTCTGTCATTCAAAGAGCACTTCTTTTGCACCAGTGTTGGTGGATCATGGAGTTCGACTGCAAATGAAGTAGATCCTATAAGTCTGTCTAGTTCTAATTGGGGGCACCTTCCCAAACTTGGTGCCTTTAAGATGTATTGGATTTCAACCCTCCCCATCTCTGCCACTGTAAGCCTGCCATGATGGCTCAGGATGGTGGGAGCTGAGACTGGAGGCCATGAAGTTAGGGAAGCCATGATGATGTCATTACACTTGTGAGTTTGTGTGTCTCCTTGGCTTGCAACTCATGAAGAAGAACTGGGACAAGGAAATGCCATGCAGCAGTCACATCACAACTGACAGAGCAGCGGGTAGAAAACTATTTCTTCTGGGGCAAAAATTAATCCTGCTTGTGTGCAGGAGAAATGCAATATCTTTGCAGCAGAAGTTCTACCCTTAAGAAAGACAACTGAACTCCTTGCCACAGAAGAGTGCACATCTATTGACTTCTAAAGTAATCCTAAAGAACAAGGAAAAACAACATGTAGCTTGTTGGCCACATGCATCACCCCAGCTGTTTCGGGGTACACCCACAGCTTCCACTGCTGAGTTTGCTGCAGAAAATGCATCATTTGGCTTGAAAATAAGATGCGCAGAAAGCATGCTCTGCTTGTAAACAAGCAGAATTACACTGCCAGAATCCTCCAAGGAACATGATTTCTCTTGCAAACAAAGTGTGCCACAGCTGTGGTACCAAATTACCAGGATCTGGGCTGCTCTGGGATTCCAATCAGTGGCCAGAACCAAAACATTGACCTCAGTATTTGTAGAATCGGTCCCAGGCCCTGCTGGAATGCTCAGCCTTCTGATGAGCACCAGCTGGCAGCCCGAAGGGAAGAGCTATACAAAAGCATGCTGTTCCCTCCAGAACTGGCCTGAGCAACACAGGTCTTTCAGATTGCTGTAGTGTTGGTATCTTTCCTGACCCAGTTTTTGCTCTGCCGTATGTATCCTGCCTTGCTGGCTCACCCCAGCAATGCAGGTCTTCCTACTAGCTATGATGCGGTTCAGCTCTGCCACCTTGCCTGACCCTTGCTGCATCTGGTTCTTGTTATGTCCTGCCTTGCTGTGTGGCCTTAGTAACATAGGCCTGTTTGCTGGAGTTCCTGCATCTTGCCTTTCCCTTGCCATGTACCCTGCCTTGCTGTGTTGCCTTAGCAAAGCAGGTTTTCTTGGTAGGTGTGGTTCAGCTCCTGCATCTTGCCCGACCCTTACCATGTATCCTTTCCTCTTAAACTGCCTTAAGGTACCTGCATCTCTGCTTGTCTTCCTGGTTCTTGATCCTTGGCTTGTCCATGACTGTGCCTGTGTCTTGCCCTAATATGTACTCCTAATTCCTGATCTGGGTCTGTTCTGTGGCTATGACTTGAACCATGCTATTGGACTTTGGACTCTATATCGCTTTGGGTTCAGTTGCCCTGGTCCTGGTGCCTCTGTCCTGTCTTCTGCCACCCATATCCCACCCTTTGACACAAATTTGCTAGTGGTGGTGATGAGGGGGGCGGCTACAACCCTGGAATGTGACCACTTCCGCTCTAGAAAGACTTGTATTTTCTACATATATCAATAAATGTGTTACCACTCCACCAGAATAGTTGAAAAGCCATTCCTAAAGCCTAAATGGATTAATAATTTCAAGTCAATATCCACAGCTACAGACTAGTTCTTACGTTATAAATTTGTTGTAGAGAACAAAGGCATTTTCAAGATTTCCCTCTTCCAGGTATACAGATGCCATCCGCTCCATCTCCACTCCAGATCTAAAGTAGCGCCGTGGTGTAATGTCTTCATTTATTGTGATATTACAACCAAGCTTGCTTAAGGCACGCACTCGCTCTTCTGGGCTCAGTGAGACATCTGTGTGGTCAGGTAAAGCTGCCAGCCTTCTCTGTTAAAACAGATACCACAAACCCGCATTTCACTTTGTTTAGTGATCCAGACTTGCATATAATCTTATTCAAGACATTCAAATGAAACTTTGTGCTAGACTTAGCAGCTACACCTTTTGGTTTTAGAAAAAAGTCAGGAGTTACATTTCCTTAAAGATATTAGAAAAGAATTTTGGAAAATTACAATAAAACGCCCCCCCCCCCCCCGCCTCCAGCCTGCTGTTGCATCACAACACACACATGGTCCAGGAACCACAATTTTCCAAAGTGTTTTCATACTGATGAGCAATGAGGCACTTTTGATACCTATTATGTTGAACTTCACTGCTGCATTTAAGTTTTCACATGGCACTTATACAAATAGCTTTTAAGCACAGCAGTTTTAGTTACTACATTTAAAACCAATCTTAGCTGCTCCATTATACCACTTCTGTAGAAGAGGTTTGACATGTGACTCAGGCTGAAATGAGATATAATGAAAGGAGGGGTCTGCTACTGAAAAAACAGCAGTAATATCTCTTCCTTGTTTGTTTTCTTCTGTATCTAATAAAAAGCAGTGGTCAAATCAATATCCAATCCGTCTATGCAGAAACATTTTATTTATTTAAGATATTTGTATGCCATCCTTTGCAAGAGCCTCAGGATGGCTTACACAAATAAAATACAAATACCTAACGTAACATAAATTAATTAACGACCCACTCTGGCTGCAATTAAAATATGATGATAAAATTCAATATTAAAACTTATTAAAATATTGATTAAATAAAAAGGTCTTAACCTGGCGCCGAAAAACATATAATGATGGCGCCAGGCGGACCTCTCTGGGGAGCGCATTCCATAGACCGATTAACATTGCCTGATTAATAGATTTCCGTGCATTATGAAACAATGGATTTTGGAATTACTTACCAAGGAACTCACAGTGAATGGCTGCTCCATGTTGCTTTGTGCTGGCAACCCACTTTTACTGTTTATTTCCAGTCCTTCCATCTAGCCATAAAAAGGAATGGGAAAAAGAGTGTTCGGTCACAACAGTAATCTATCTTGATGTCTTATGCACAAATTATCCGCCAGTGAAGATGCTCCAAAGAAAAATACTGTTGATCTGTCATCAAAAATTCTGTCAACAGTACCAAATCAGCATTTTGACCCTGGAAATCTGAAACATCTGCACAGTTTGATATTTAGGGATAGTTCCTGGAATGGAGTGGGGAGGGAATCTGCTAAAATGCATAGTATATAACTGGTCTTCCACAATGTTGCCTGTGCACACTCCATAGCACACCATTAAAGTAATTTGTTCATTACCTTACACATGAAAAATCAGCTTAATAGTCAAGGAAGCTGCATCTAAGGGAACATGAGCAATACCATTTTTCAAATATAGTTGTTGCATACTGCTGACAATTTTTTGTCCGTCGTTCCTTTAATGACTCATATAGTAACATGTAAACAAACTAAATGTAACAGTATCTAAAATTTGCTGCCTGATGGGGCACCGCATTCTACAATGTATATTAGTGGAAGGCTCTCACGGTCAGTATGCTACTTCGCAATTTTACGTTGTGTAAGCCGTCCTGAGCACTTGTCAGAAGGATGGGATATAAATGTTTGAAATAAACAAACAAACAAATAAATAAGTAAGAGTCATCTCTTAGTTTTACTGCATTGCAAGTTTATGTACAATGCAAACCACACAGGAAAACTTAGCACTTTTGTTTTGCTGCTCTTGCTTTTCTACAGAGGAGCAATAATCATTAGACTATAAGAACAGCTGCGTTAGATCAGAGGATGGCCAGAGAGTACAACAGTTCCCTCCTGGCCACACAGCAACTGGTGTACATAAGCATCCTCACTCTGACAGGTAGAGCCATCAGGACTAGAAGCCTTATTCTCCATTAAAAGGAACTGATAGAATCAAAATAATCTTTAAGACATCATAGCCCTATTTTAGTTTTTTAAGGACCAATTTTCCCCTCCTGTATATAAAAAATAATATCCTTTGAATTAGGATCAAAAGATCCTAACCACATAATTCAGTTCAAATCCCTTTCAGCATATGAAAGATAACAGGACTACTATTCTGAGTGGGTGCAGTTCATAGTTCAATACTGTAATGGAATCTTCTACATAAACTCTGTAGACATACCTTTTAACTTTGTTCTCATGTATCCTCTCTGATTATCTACCATGGGTTAGTAACTGTTGGAGCTTTATTTGGCAAGTAAGGACTATGAACGATGCATCCCCCCTCCCCCGCCACCTTCAGATCCACTGAAAATAAATGAAGTGCCAGGTAGTTAAGCCTCATTTGTTCCACCACCTGCACCCCAGCAAATTTAGAGAACTGACTGGAAACTGAAATCAAGCAATGAGAAAAGGAAGTAGTAAGCTGAACGGCAGAAAATGTTATTTATAAATCATTTCACCACTAAATTTAAATGTATGCAAACAGTGTGAATCCCTATAAAATCAACAACTTCACTCAAACTCACGGCCTATGAGTTCTGAGTAGACTATTAGTATAGTTTGATTACTAAGCCATGCTGCTGTATATATTTTTTTAATGTTTTGCTATCCGTTTTGCTATCCTCTGTGGCATGCAAGTTGTGACTTCATGAAGCCACAGAAATCCGGGCACATGAACCTATATTCTGACATGAGGCTTATGAGGTGAGGCTAAGAAGGTAGTGCAAGATGTATACCATGTGTCAGAAGAATCATTTAACAAGGCAGCCACCTTCTGTCAGCTCTTGATAGGTCAGTACAGTATTCCCACAATTGGACCTTTTCATTTCAGTGAAACTTGCAATGCCTGCCTACCTCCTTAGGAAAACTGAGGCAAAGGACAGACTACTTGTAAGTTGTGCCATCTTTCATTCCAGTGCAGTCTGCTTACATCATCTCTTCCCAACAGATGACAGCTGCGTTGCTCAATCAACAAATTATTTTCAAAAGTTGCTTACAGTTAGCACCATTCTATCTTCACAATTTATTTTATTTATTTATTTTCTGATTTATATCCTGCCTTTTTCCTACAAAAGGCTCAAGGCAGCTCACATCTCCTCCTCCATCTTATCCCCACAACAACAACCCTGTGAGGTAGGTTGGGCTGAGAGTCTGTGACTGGCCCAAAGTCACCCAGTTGGCTCCATGGCCAAGAGGGGACTAGAACCCAGATTGTCTGAGTCCCAGTCCCATGCTCTTAACCACTACGTCACACTGGCTATCAATGCAGACATGATCAAATTATTCCAGTGTACACCACCTTCCTTCAAAACAGTACAAATACTGAGCATCCCTGGCCTAAATAATCTGCTGGAAGAGAAAAAGCTGAGTAGGTGATAAACTCTCCATAAAGATCTTTCAGCTAAATTCACCACCCATTACATCATTATTGGAAAGAAAAGTGGGGGGGGGGGATCCCATGGACTATTCTCTTACAGCAGTTAGGTTACTTTTTAGCATTTAACTGATCAAAATATTGGTTAAATCATAAACAGGTATGGAACATTGATTTTTTAGAACAGCAACAAAGATAGATGGGAATGCTACCAACACGGCAATCTAGAATGCTTCAAAATCCATTTTCTTTCAGGAGCTTTGCAGTTTTAGACAACATGAGTTTCCTTTCCATATCCAGTACAACTGACTTAATGGTAGGCTTTATTCCTGAGAATGTGTGACTTATGCCATTGTGATAACTTGCTTGTATTTGTTGTTTCCTACAGAATTTTGTACTTCTATAGTAGTTAGAAATGTTAACAATTGCAGCGCCTAATTAGCAGAAGCTAATTCATTTAATTAGGAGGTGAGGTGAGGTGGCACATATGGTTTAGAATGAGTTGCAGAGCAATCTCTGTGTGTATTTATGAGACCCGATTTCTGCAGAACTAGAAAGCAGAACTTTTTCTCTTTCTGTTATTATCAGGCATGATATAATAATACAATAAGAAGGCAAGCAACCACCAAAAGAAATACATTTTTTTCATGAAATATTTACCTTCAGACAAGTGACTAGATAACTGGTAATACTGATCAGTCAGATGGCTATCAATTCTGTCCTAAACAGAATATATAAAAATGCTTTGGGATGCTGTTTCACGAGATTCCAGTTTTCTCCTTGTTACTGATGAGCCACCTGTCCCAAGACATTCTTTTTCTCAGTGGGCTTCCTCAGAGGCAATTGTCATCTATACTCTTTGCCCTCTTCAGTTGTTACCTTCTGCACTGGAAATGTGCTTCATTGAAAGTTCTGGTTATTCAAATGAAATAACATTCATTTCTGAGAGTACTTAAGTCTTCCTACTCTATTTTATGTATGGAGACAAAGCTCCAATTCTAAACACATGGACCAAATATGTGCCTATTATCTGAATGTGGTCAAATACTTAAAGTATTTCCAGGGGGAAACCAGGAATGTTACTATGCAGGTGGCATCATTGTGGTGCTGCAAGAACAGGAATGGGTTTTTTCCACCCAAGCCTTGCAGCAGTCAAGCAAGACCAAGCCAAGCCGGAGAGCAAAGCTTTTGTTATTGGCTACCTGGCCAGTCAGGAGCATGACCAGTATCAGCTAAAAAGCTGAGTATCTCAGACTATCCGTTTTTTCCATCCTGCTATCTCTATGGAATATTGCCTTTATGTTACTAGATTATTATCGATATTTTCTGCTACTTGCTTTATACCTATGATATTTTTTATATTCCCTTCTTTTAAATTAAATTGTAAGCCAACATGGTGTTCCAATGTAAAAGCCAAAAAAAAAAAAAAAAGGACTATTTAATTAATTTTTAACATTTACAAGCACCTTACCTAACATTTTAAACAGTTAAATTTTATAATGGTTGCAAGAAACATGATGGAGTTGCCTGGCTAAAGCTAAGCAAGCTGTTGGTCTGGTCAGTGTTTTGATGGCAAACCACTTGAGAACTCTACAGATAGTACCCTGAGATTCTTGAAAAGAAAAAAAGGTGGGATATAAATGCACTTAAGAAATATTTAATTACCTTTTAAAAAGTTAATTTCACAGCATCACACCAACATTGTTTTGCTAATTAACTTATTTTTCCTGTTCATCATGGGCAGAAGTAGTTATTTCCTTTCATGCTGCCAATGTGCCACATATAATTGGGTTTGGACAGGAAGATGAGATAATTTTTAAAAATCTGGGCTTAATGTCTAAAGGATGTAGAAAAACTGTGAAGCCAAGTTTATTTGGCCAAATCAATAAAAGATAAAGAATAAACAAAAGAATACATGCTGAAATGTAAATTATGTATCATGATTAGTTAATTCAGAGATCATAAACATTACAGCAAACAACAGCTGAATGAAGAAAATGAACTCTTAATGTTTAGCTCCATGAAAACTTAATTACATTATAGATAAATAGACTTTCCTATGGCTTTTAAAAGCTCTAGTGCTACAATTTTATAATTTATTTATTTCCAGAAATACATTTTTTCACAATGTCATTTGGTTTATTTTACTATGTGCAATTGTATAATGTACAATTGTGCATGTTTACCCAGAAGTGAGTCCCATTGTGTCCAAAGGGCTTACTCCAAGGAAAGCATACACAGAATTACAGCTCAATCATTACTGCTTAAGAATTGCTCTCAATGCAGATATTTCCCTGTAACAAAAGAGTTGGCTGCAACCTGACCTGAGGTCCAGTGCTACAGATAGCATTATCAGCTCTCTGGATGTGCATGTTAACATTATTTTTATTAATCTTTATTTTCTTCCCTTGTACGGTTCTTGTCTTTTTCAGTCAATACCATAAAAAGCAACATCTAGATATTTAAATACATTTATTCTCCATTACTTCTTTCCAATGTTGTGACGCTATGTTTGAAGTGGCTGCTTTCCTCCCCCTTAAGATGGTGCCACAAAGAAACTTTTCCGTGGCACTATTTTCTCACTTCCTTTTGCACCAGAGCACACACAGATTTTTCTTTGGAACAAATTGTAGCAAAGTAGTTCCCTGTGGTCCTTATGTACAGTGCTTAGTTTTCAACTTAATACTAATAACATATTGCTACATGCACAATAAAAGAATATTCCATTCCAACAGTAAATTCGGTAAACTGGATAGCATGCGCCGTTACATTTGTGGAAATACTGCATTCAGGTTAACAGAGAAACAGAGTGAGTCAGAAAGGGTCTTTTGGGCCATTTAGTCTGACCCCCAGGTCCAGCCAGCTTAGCTCATGATGTGCCTACATCTGAAATGGCATAGGAAAATTGTCTAGACATGGTTCTTAAATAGTAAGAAAATCTGGGGTTTTGCACAGCCTTGTTAGGACACTTAACCAGATCAGTAAATGTAGATGCACTCTTTTGACAAAGAGTTCACTCATCATCACAAACTTTGCAGCACAAAAACACAGATAATGATAATGTGCATTCTGAGGTACATGTAGAGATGAAGCAGGCATGGCTGCTGTTCTGTGTGAAACTAGTTTGTCTCTCAGCAGACAAATAGAATGCTTGAAAACTGGTGGACTGTGCTTTAGCAGTAACAGTCAATTAATATTCTCTAATTGTACGTTTTACTATCAAATTAGTGCTGCGTAGAACCCTCAAGTTTTCATGATACTTAAGGGATGCTTTTCCTGGCACTGTAATGTTCATTTACTTAAGAAACTACAACCGTACCACCCTCACCATAGTTGCAGGATTGCCACAATGTACAGTTAAATGATCTAGCAGTAATCTGAACATTAAGGGCACTTTGTAACCAAAAATTGGATAAAAAGTAATAAATTGGTAACTCAGCAAATAATTTGTTTTCATTATGTATTTAAATAGTCACAGAAAACTCCTTTGGTAGACTTATGAATTACATATTAAAGATAAATATTATCTCTTCGTTTTTACTGAAATTGGCATAAAGGATGGGTAAAGCAATGAATCACCTGTTACCATGGCTGTAGAACCATATACTGATAAATGCTCTCTCAGTCATCATACAAAGCCATTCCACTGACTTTTGCCGGGTCATAATGAAAGGAACAAAGGAAAGTAGTTGTTTTTTCTCAAGAAATAATTGATCGCCATAAGTCTGTTTACTACTAACTTCATTAAGAATATAATCCTATGCATGCTCTGGGAGAAAAAAGGTACCTGGCAGGGGAATGCTGGAAGTTGTCCAACTTTTCTGTCTGAACATGCATAGGATTGTGCCCTAAATTAAATTGGCATGATTATTCTAGGCATCCTGTCACTCCAATATCTGGCTAATCAATTCAAAGCTAGTAGACCAGCATGTTGCCTCACACACACCATGAGCAAGAGGACCCTAAGCTGGCCCAAAGTTACTTGGTGGAGTCAGAATCCAGATTTCTTTCACCAAAGTCTAACATTCCATCTAATATTCCACGGTAGCCATCTTTTACAATACTCAGAAAGGAACCCCCACCGTTTTCTTTTATTGAACAGATGTATCAGTCAATTAAATATGATTTGCTTTTAGCTTATATATGGCTAGTGGGTGGAATAACAATGAAATAAAAATATAAATATTTAAGCATTGAATGTATGTGATTTCCCTGAAATGTGACCTCTGACAGGACATATGCATGCTCAAATGAATGCTATTCTTGAACTGCTGCACCATTTTGCATATACTTAGCCACTCAACAGATGGCTGCACAGTAGATTTCAACAGTACACATTGCTAGTTCAGGAGCATTTGGAAGCCCGATTCTACTTCTGCTTCTCCACAACAGGAAACATGAAATAAAGAAAGGATGTTTCTTGTCTATCTCCCCTAAGGGAGTGCTTTGTGTAGTTTCGAAATCAGTATCAGAAATTGCACAAAGTTCTTCAACCCAGCAGGTACTGGCCTTCAAATTCTGCTTCTGTGCATATATTAACTTGTTAGATATGCGGTGAATTGAGAATTGTATAAGTCACTATTTATTAAAATACCTAAAACAGTTTTACTATTATTTGACGAATAGACCAAATCCAGACAAAGCTGGTTGTATTTAACTTTAGTACCACAATAAATTGCTTTGTACCTTTATCATGCTGAGCTATCTTGTGGTAACAATGTTATTAAAATCCATTTCAGTTCCAGGTTACAACACAACAAAATATGGAAAAGTCCAAGTTGGGTAATATTCCTAAAGTGTATGTATATTCCACTAAAACTAAATGATATGTTATTTTATGCACGGGTTTGGGGTAAGATGGACAGAGGATGCTGGTGACAGCCAATGACATGCAGAGTTCTATTAGTATATTATATTCTTCGCACTTACTTCTCGTTGTCATGGCATGCTAAATGACAACCCATGTTCGACTTAACTTAGCATATGCCAGCAGCAGCTGTATGGTTCTCCTCAGCCAACTCATCATTAGCTGAGTATTTTCCAGAGATGGCAACACATTGAGGACGTCATATGACTCAGCCTTCCATCGCATCCCAAACTCTGCCAAAATGCACTAAACTCATGGCCCTCAGTGCACCAGTTCAGCTATGAAATTGGACCCAAGGGCCAATGAAATAAATATGCTGTTTTTAAGTGAACAAAGTTAACACAGAGATACCAATTTCTATAATCCTAAAGTATTCCCTGATAGTAAACATTAGAATGCTTACTGAAAATAAACAGATAGAGTTTACAGGTCAGAGTTTACTGGCTTGTTGGACGGGAGTGTTACATTTCAATATAACATTTAGCTTTATGTATCCAATGAGTCAGGTGAGAAGCAGAAACATAAAAACCCACCTGGCTCAACAATGTCAACAGTGTTAATCTTTTATCATTAGAACTCAGTTTTACAAGTTCTCTAACAGTAGCTGCCTAGCAACGTCTTCTGTAGCCCAAGACTTGATTGCAGGTTTCACCTTGAGTTTCTCAAGGTGATGATCCATCTCAAGACCTGATCTATTTCTATAGTCATATTAGTCACATTAAGCACTACTCTTACGGATTATTATGTTTTGTGAGATTCAGTCCAGAATTGCTACATTTTCTTTTACATGATATTTTAAAATAAAACCACAATTACAGGTAGAAAGCTTATTCAAATGTGGCACTGCAAGTTAATCTTTTGGGTTTGGGTTACTCTTTATTTATCAAAGGACAAGCCAATATTGTCAACAGTGGAATTACACATAAGCATTACAGCTTCCCTGGCAATGTTATTTATATGTCTCTAAGTTTTTAAAGAAATGAAGAGCAAAGGGCAATTGTGAGTCCAAAATCTACTTGTTATGCTACGCACCACTCTTGGATTTCCAGTTGTTCCTAGTCAGGAACTGAATCTGCTTAGAATCCCAATACTAGCACTCTCAAAAAATAACATCACTATAACTCATTAAGATCTTAATTTATTAAGATCTCTTGCAGGGAAGAAAACAGAGGTGAAATGTTTTCAATACAGCCTTCCAGGCTACAATCCTTCCTGGCCATCTTCTTGGTGCCACTTTATGAATTAACATTGCATTACTTTTTGTTTTGGAAGGTATTTGCATTGCATTCAAGGCCATCATGCCAGAAACTACAAGGTCCCCCCCCCGCCCCCCGAGATCAATAAATAGCTGTGAAACTGCTGAGGGTAGGCCAAGAGAAAGCTGCAGAGGTGTGATGAAGAATGAGATGAAGCAGAGAGTAGGAGTACATTCGTGGTGGCAGGCAGCACTTTCCAGTAAAAGGGGGGGGGGGAAGACTCTGGAGTAGTTAATACTCGAGGGGCAGAATGCGCTCACTGGGATACTTAAGGGAGTTCTGGAGTCTATTTTGTGCAGTTGCGCACTGCCTTTAAAATATGGGGGCCACGGGAAGGGGGTTCGCGCGTGCGCGGTGATGGGAAAACTATATAATGCCGGTTCTGTGGTCTGTTAAGAAAGAGCATTCCTTTCCACGGAGAAGAAACCCTTCCAGAAAGGAGAGCACCTGGCAGCAACGGCGGGGCGCTTTCTGTTCCACATCACAGAACTGGAGGAGCATCTTGCCATCGCAGCGGGCCGCAGCGGGCCACGCGGGGCGGGGGAGCCCTATGCCGGATAAACGCAGCCCTACGGAACAGCTCTCCCTGCTTTCCTGGCTCCACAGGCCCCCCCACCCCCAATTTACTATTCGGTTTACATCGGTTTCTCCGAAGTAGAATAACTGGAAGGAGAAGGAAGAAGTGGCCTCGCGTTTCTGGCTGCCCCACCCCCTCTCCTGCAAGCCATTCAGAGCCGCTGTTTCGTGCACCGGCGGTTAGCCTCCCCCGAACACGAGCAGCTGGTCCTTGCCGCTCCGAGCAGCGTCGGCCAGCCAGACACCCCCCCCCACCCCCGGGAAAAGCGCAACGCGCGGCGGGACGCGATCAGATGCCCCGCGGGGTGTTTCCCCGCCGCTCTTGCCCCTCCCGTCGCCCTTTCCACCCTTCAGGGCGGCCGCTGATGCGGCAGCGCAGCCGGGCTCTCCGCGCCCCGTCTCTCCCGGCCGAGGGAGGCAGCCCGCCCCGGGGCTCGCTTACCATAGCGCCATCGCTGCCAAGCTCGCGTCGACGCGGAGAGGCGCGCCGCCCGCACACCTGGGGCTCTTGCTGGAATGAGCGGGCGCCTGCCGCGGCCGCGGAGCGGACAATGAGAGGGGCCCCGGCCGGCCCGGCCCGGCCCGGCCCAGCAGCCGCGCGCCGCGCCTTCCGCCCCCTCGCCGGGTGCCACGCCGCGCGCT